TCACGCATCCTAGCGTGACAGGATTTTGAGATTATACCCGGAGAGCCAGAAGCGGAGAGCTCACTTCTAGTTGCCCCTTAATCCGATTTGCCCCTTGGATCCGATTTGTCGATAGCCAGTTTGACTGAGCACTATCTCCTGTGATTAGACACGTCGAGTGATCTATATTCACGTCAATCGTTTGGCATGGAGCGAACGAAGGAGTTTTATCTGTTGACGTTCACTTTGTATTACTTTTCTATTTACCTTATCGGACCTTATTTGGACGGACATTTAATAAACGGACATAATTATGAACGGACATTAACAATTAATATGAACGCTAGAAGGCATTCAAAACCATCAAAAATCCGAATTTTTCCCCATTTTTATTTAAGTTTTTTATCACAGCAAATTATTTTTAAATCCGTTTTTTATACAGTAAGTAAGAAAAGCAGTCGTTAAGCATGAGTAAAAATATGTGTACATTACATGATCAGTGTCTACTGTCTAATATCACATATCATCTTTATCATCAAATGGGTTTTCGTGCATTACATAAAATAGTCCATGCTTAAAGCATCAATGAAAACGATGCGATGGTACACACATTTTGAAAATCCGAGCAAGTTTAATTTTATCGTGCACCTCCTAGTACATAGTACTACTACTAGTAGTAGTACGTGTATAACTTTACCATTATCCAAAGAATCTCAATGAGGGGCATAAAACGAACTCGCACATATCATGTCATGTTCTATTTGCTAATGCTATTGTAACACAGCTCTCCCCATCGCTTACTCAGTTAACTGTAGATAATATGAATCGTTAACTTAACGGTCTGGAGGTCAGAAAAACAATAAATTAGTTTAACTTTGATGAGTTTCAACTGTTGGTTTATTAATTAATAGGATAAACATTGAGACTTGAGTCTAACGTTGCATCACATCAACGTTTGAGCTGGCGACTAAGCATATTACATTGTTAATATTAATAATAGTCTAATTCTATCGTCTATCGATCATGGTCCTTAGTTGCATTAGCCACGGTTAGAAATTATACATTATACATGCTGCCTTGATGATAATAAGGCGACGCGATTTCAATCTGTTGGGGGTATTGCGCCAAATTGGACCAAGCGCGACAAGTTAATCATTATCACATTTTACCCTTTCTCGTTCGATGAATCAAGCTTTTGCCTCTGACTGAAAGTGAATCAAGTTTCATTAGGGGTCCGATTCCGAACTCTACGGTTATGACGCCCCAAAAACAGGGCTGTACGGTGTGGAGACGTGAAAAACAGGATTCTACGGCGGCAACAACAATAACATTTTTTCCAAATTTCGAAAAAATCAAACCTAATTTTATATACTCCGTACAAAGACGTAACAGATCAACCTACCTTATCGGACTTTATTTGGACGACATTAATTGAACGATGGAGGCCCTAACGTTAATATCTTAATGTCCATTCAAATTAAGTCCGTTCATTTAAGGTCTGTTCAAGTTTAAGTCCGTTGAATTTTTTTCAAAAATGTTTCCACTTCGAAATTTTTGTCCAGAATTCTGGCAACTATGATAACTTTATTGTGCCGTAAGTTAACGACGGAAAGGTCCTCCTTGGTCTGCGGAAGGCACAGAAAATTATACTAGTATATCAATATGATATTTTCAAGGGTCACTTGGCGGAAAAAGTCAACGAGTCGAAATTATGGCACTCAACAACATAGTTAATGAGCTAGTCCCCGCAAACATATGACAAACTTGTTCCAGCCTCTAGATATATTGGCTCTTACTAAATCGCTCGCCCAAAAATTTCACGTGACTTTGGTTTTTTTGGTTTTGCAGCCGTACAAAACGGTTTTACATAAACCCTAATCCCAACCCTAACCCTAACCATAACCCCGAAGCTATCCATAATCTTAACCACAACCCTTACCCTAACCCGAGCCCTAAATAATCGAATTCACGTTTTACTAGCCTGTCACGTGACCAAAACGGTTTTTTGCCCATAACTGTCCAGGGAAGCATTTTAACCCTACGTCATGGGGGGTGATTCGGAATCAGCGTCCAAAAATAGACTGATTTCGATCAATTCCATGCCTAAAGGGCCTTTTCACAAGAATTGTCTTAAAATTTGGGCGAGCGATTTAGTAGGAGCGAGATATATTACAGTAAATCGTTGCCAAGGACATTGTCCGACGTTGTTATAGTTCATATATTTACTGAGGGGAGGTAATGAAACAGTGCTAGGAAAGCTCCACTTGATGTTAAGGTTAACCTAAAGTTGTCTAAGATAAAAACCACTTCACACCGAATGGCTTGTAAAAGTTATCACTGAAATGCAGGACCGGGGTAGTACTAGTTTGATTTTTTTAAAAGGTTTCCATAAACGTAGAAATCACTGATGCTTTAAGCATGGACTATTTCATACAGTGTTATACATGCTTATGTATAACATTTTGAACTTGTTACTTTATTCATTCTGCTGCCTTATTCCTTTATTCATTCTCCAGTTTAGCAAAGAATTTCCATTAAGGCACCTGTACAGCAGGGTGTTTGGATGATAATTAATCACTCTACTCTCGACTGTCACGTGACTTTTTCTACCCGTTCTGTAGCTGGTCCTGAACGACTATTCGAAACCCTAACCCTCTTATAGTTATCTGATCCCAACCCTAACCCTAACCCAATCCTTAACAAAAGCATATGCTGAAACCCTAACCCTAACGAGAAATTACCTTATCGGACCTTATTTGGACGGACATTACTTGAACGCTGGAGGCCCTAGCGTTCATCTTAATGTCCATTCAAATAAAGTCCGTTCAATTAATGTCCGTCCAAGTTAAAGTCCGTTGAAATTTTTTCAAAAATTTTTCCATTTCGAACTTTTTGTCCAGAATATGACAACTTTGAGAACTTGATTGTGCCGTAAGTTAACGATGGAAAGGTTCTCCTTGGTCTGCCGGAGGCACAGAACATTCTACTAGTATATAATGTTTTCAAGGGTCACTTGGCGGAAAAAAGTCAACGAAATTATGGCACTCAACAATATAGTTCATGAACTAGTCCCCGCCAACATGACAAACTTGTTCCAGCCTCTAGATATTACGGTAAATCGTGTTTCCAAGGACATTGTCCGACGTTGTTATAGTTCATATTACTCAGGGGAGGTAATGGAACAGTGCTAGGAAAGCTTTATGTTAAGGTTAACCTTAAGTTGTCTAAGATAAAACCACTTCACGCCGAATGGTTTGTAAAAGTTAACACTGAAATGCAGGACCGGGGTAGTTTGATAAAAAAGGTTTCAATAAAGCTAGAAATCACTGATGCTTTAAGCATGGACTATTTCATGCACGAAAACCCATTTGATGAAGATGATATGTGATATTAGACACTGATCATGTACATATATTTAACATTTTTACTGCTCAATGACTGCTTTTCTTACTTACTGTATAAAAAAATTAAAATGGATTTAAAAATCATTTGCTGAAATTTAAAAAACGTCAAAAAAATTGAAAAAAATTCGGATTTTTGATGGTTTTGAATGCCTTCGAGCGTTCATATTAATGTCCGTTCATAATTATGTCCGTTTATGTAATGTCCGTCCAAATAAGGTCCGATAAGGTAGACTAACTTCCTTATACGGTCATATCACGTGATCGAGACAGTTTCTCGCCTATATCTCGTCAGTACTGGAGTATTGTAACCCTATGTCATGGGGGGGGGGGGGGGGGGGGGGGGGGGTGATTCGGAATCAGCGTCCTAAAATACATCGATTGAATTTGGTTTCAACTGTCGGGGGCCCTTTTAGAACAATCTCGAAGATCGACTGTAGAGTGATTTAGAACGCTCGAGGGTGTTTTATGGTATTATGATTAATCGCTCTACACTCGACTGTCACGTGACTTTTTAAACCCGTTCTCTAGCTGGTCCTGAATGACTACCTTATCGGACCTTATTTTGACGGACATTAAATGAACGGACATAATTATGAACGGACATTAATATGAACGCTAGAAGTAGAACTAGAAGTCATTCAAAACCATCAAAAATCCGAGGTTTTTCATTTTTTTGACGTTTTTAAGCAGTAAAAATTTTAAAATATGCGTACATGATCAGTGTCTAATATCACATATCATCTTCATCAGATGGGTTTTCGTGCATGAAATAGTCCATGCTTAAAGCATCAGTGATTTCTAGCTTTATGGAAACCTGGGAAACCTTTTTTTTTATCAAACTACCCCGGTCCTGCATTTCAGTGTTAACTTTTACAAGCCATTCGGCGTGAAGTGGTTTTTATTTTAAACAACTTTAGGTTAACATTAACAATAAAATAACGTAAATTAGCTTTCCTAGCACTGTTTCATTACCTCTCCTGAGTAATATGAATATTGAACTATAACAACGTCGGACACAGTGTCCTTGGCAACACGATTTACCGTAATATCTAGAGGCTGGAACAGGTTTGTCATGTTGGCTGGGACTAGCTCATGAACTATGTTGTTGAGTGCCATAATTTCGTTGACTTTTTCCGCCAAGTGACCCTTGAAAACATTTTATAGTTAGTAGAGTTTTCTGTGCCTCCGGCAGATCAAGGAGAACCTTTCTGTCGTTAACTTATACGGAACAGTAAAGTTCTCATAGTTGTCATATTCTGGACACAAAGTTCGAAGTGGAAAAATTTTTGGAAAAAATTCAACGGACTTTAACTTGGACGGACCTTAAATGAACGGACTTTATTTGAACGGAAATTAAGTTGAACGTTATGGGGCCTCCAGCGTTCAATTAATTTCCGTCCAAATAAGGTCCGATAAGGTAATAGTTTCTCTCTTTCATTGACTCGTTTCATTTCTGTCATACGGTACGCCCTGCCGTTCGTGTTACGTGACTAGAGCTTGACTAGCATACACTATTACGCCAGAAACTCAGTTTTCAATATTGGTGAGTGGTGACATAAAATAAAAAAACATAAATTAAATTTTTACAAAAATAAAATACAAATATTCTACTATCCAGGATGGTTGTTCGTGTTTGCATAGTGGGTGCCGGTCCTAGTGGTATGAGCACTCTGGCAATGTTCAAAAAGCTAAAAGACCAGGGTGTGGAGTGCGAGGTGACGTGCTTTGAAAAACAGGAACAACCAGGCGGTCTTTGGAATTTGACTTGGAGAACCGGTTAGTTTATTGTATTGTGAAAACAAGGAAGCCAGCCAGGCCCAGTTATAGCGTCATTGTGTTCAGTCTGTAACCCTGCTGCAGTGCGAGTGGCGCTGCACCAGCAGGGTTACACTGAATTTAAGTTTGGAATATTTCTGTCGATCGTGGTAACTTTGGAATATTTGACTTTTTGCCAATGTTCAATGTTCATCACAAAACGGCAGTAATAAATGCAGTTGGGGCAGGGTTTGAGATAAAACTAAAATTTATTACCGTGAATGAAATATTAAACGAAGCCTCTCGATCTAGTTGATTGAAATAAGTGCAAACATATAAGCCTTTGACGGCCTAAGATAAATTAAGCCTTTCAGCACTCTCTTTACGTTCATCGGAATGTTTTTCATCTTGATGTTTTCAGGTACTGACGAGTTTGGGGAACCAGTGCATTGTTCGCAGTACCGCGACCTTTTCTCAAATGGTCCGAAAGAATGTCTGGAATTCCCAGATTACACTTTTGATGACCATTTCGGGAAGCCTATCCCGTCCTACCCTCCTCGTGACGTGTTGTTCGATTACCTGCGAGGCTACTGGAAGTTTCATGGGGTGAAAAAGGAGGACGTTCTTACGAGGCACGTGGTCAGGAATGTTAGTTTTGATGATAAAACTGCTACCTTCACAGTTCGAGTAAGGAATCTCGTGCAGGGATTGGATATTGAACAGGAATTCGACCGACTGATCGTAGCTTCGGGCCATTTTTCTGTTCCTAACGTTCCTCATTTCGAGGGTATTGAAACCTTTGAGGGACGTGCCATGCATTCCCACGACTTGAGGAATGCGAGAGAGTTTACTGGCAAGAGGATTTTGGTAGTCGGTTCCAGTTACAGTGCCGAGGATATTGCTCTCCAATTGTTCAAATTCGGGGCAGAACAAATCACTATTTCATACCGTACAGCCAAGTTGGGTTTCAAATGGCCTGAAAAGATTCATGAAGTGCCCTTACTCATAAAAATCGAGGGAAAGACCTGCCATTTCAAGGACGGCACCTCTGGAGATTATGATGCGATTATTCTCTGCACTGGTTACAGACACCATTTTCCCTTTTTGCCCTCTGAGCTGAGCCTTCCAAATGGAAACGTCTTCAATCTGCCCAACCTCTACCGTAACGTACAGTGGTATGGTGTCACTGAAGGCAAGAAAAACGCAAGCGGGCTGTTCTACCTTGGCATGACGAACCAGTTCTACACCTACACCATGTTCATGATGCAGGGTCTGTGGGCTGTGAGTGTCATTAAGGGTATCATCCAGACACCAGAGAGGGAGGATTGTGTGGAGGATATTGAGAAGAGGTATGCGGAGAATGCTAATCTTACGGACTGCTTCAAGATGATTGCCTCACAAGCTGATTACATGAAGCAACTATCGACTGATCTCAACTATACTGAGGTTCTGGATTGTGAGGAGGTATGTGTTACATTATTTTGAATTAAGTGCGTCGTACATATTGATTTTGCATTTATCATATTTTTATATTTTGGCTGTTAGAAGATTCAGCCAAGGCATTCAAATTTTGAAGATTTTTATTTTTGGAACTCTTTTTAAAAAGGTGACAACGATTTTGTTGATAATAATCCCAATTGAAAACAATCAAATTGTTAATGCACATCTTATTTCAGCTGTATTACCAATGGGTGCAACATAAGCTTGATGACATCATTACGTACAGAGACAAGTGTTACAAGTCCCTGTACACGCTCAAGGATTCCCCTGTACACCCCACTCCTTGGGTTAAGTGTTACGATGACTCATTGGAAGCTTTTATTTCTGCTTAACTTAACAAAGCAAAGTATGGACTTGTGGATTGTTGTATTGGGATTAAATGTGGTCATTTACAATATTTTCAAGGAAAGTTTACCAAAACCTACCTCTTTATTTAGGTATTATAGATATTATTATGTAGATATTATAATGTACAGAGTGGACCAAATAGATATTTAAATGTGGTCATTTACAATATTTTCAAGGAAAGTTTACCAAAACCTACCTCTTTATTTAGGTATTATAGATATTATAATGTACAGAGTGGACCAAATAGATATTCATATTACTGCCTGATATGTTGAGATTTGTTTTTTATAGCCAGAAATAAATACATTAATGATCACCTGATGTTTAAATATTAGTCCTTACCCGAGGTCGTTCACATTACGTAATTTGCCCAGCGGGGGGGGGGGGGGGGGGGGGGGGGGGGAGGGTTTCCAAATGATTACGCTAGTTTAATTTTGACACAATAGCTATGTGTAAAACTGATTACGGAGGGGGTTAAACATTGGCCAAAATTGATTACGTAATATGTGAAAGACCCCTAAGAGCGAAAAAAGATTACTAAAAGTATTAAGTGTTATCAATGTGCATCATCCAAACAGCCATCCAAACAGCCATAACTTAAATTGGAGTCCTCGATCAGGTTATACTCATATAGTGCCAAAGTTAACATCGACCGTAGTAATTATTTTAGAGCTATAATACCAGTTTACCATATACATGGTTCAAGACGTTATTAACCTATTTAAGAATAAAGCTACTCTTGACACCAAAATCCAACCACTAAAAATTGCCAACAGCTGTCATAATTTTACCACTGTATTGGCCCACGTTGTTAACAGCTCGTTCGAACAAGGGGTCTTTCCCCATGCCTTGAAAACGGCAAAAGTAGTTCCTGTACATAAAGGTGGATCTAAAACTGACATCAAAAATTACAGACCGATATCTCTACTTGCCACTTTCTCAAAAGTCTACGAAAAGCTTATGCACAATCGAGTCATAAATTTCTTGGATACCTACAATATACTTTGTGAAAATCAATACGGCTTCCGCCCAGGTAGGTCTTGTGAACATGCACTTCTTAATGCTAAAGACAGAATCCTCAATTCAATGTCCAAAAAGCAAGTTACTTTGCTCCTTTTGATTGACTTTAGCAAAGCCTTTGACCTTGTGGATCACTCCATACTCCTGAATAAGCTTGAGCACTATGGCATAAGAGGTCTAGCTTTAAACTGGTTTAAATGATATCTTATGAACAGAAACCAGTTTGTATCAATTGGATCCTCTGAATCCTCAGCCAACCCCATTATTTACGGTGTTCCCCAAGGTTCAATTTTGGGACCTCTCCTTTTTATAATCTACATAAACGATCTTCCTCCAATATCAGAAATAGCTAATTTCATCATGTACGCAGATGATGCAAACATTTTCCTAACAGGAGAAAATATAAACGAGGTTTATGATAAGCTCAAAATTCTTAGCGATGTCTTAGTTAAATGGGTAGATAACAACGGATTAGCTCTAAATCTTTAAAAAACGAATTATATGATCTTTTCTCGACAAAGAAACCTCATTTATCGCGATGTAGTAATTTCTGGTGTCACAATCGAAAGAAAAACAGAAGCCCGTTTCTTAGGAGTTATAATAGATAACAAACTGAACTGGTCGCAACATATTTCTGCCATGAAAATGAAAATGGCCAGATACATTGGAGTCATGTACAAACTTAAAAAAATATTTGCCTCTGGAAGCACGTTCACAAATATATCACAGCTTTGTGCAGTCTCACCTTAATTACTGCTCCCTCGTCTGGGGTTTTGTTGCCAAATCCCATATAGAAACACTATTTGTAAAACAAAAAATGGGTCACGAAATCCTCTCCGAACCTCCACGTGGTGTGGCCTGGTTGGCACTAACGGGTGGTGTGCTCTCTTGTTGAGTACTAAGGTTGGGACTTGCCAACTCAAAGTTCCCATGGGAACCAGGAAGTCAACAATAACAGCTACCAAGCACGAGGAAATTTCTCTTTCAGATATCAGGTTACAAGATAGTACACACACAAATGACGATACGTTAGACACAGATACCTAGCTCTAAGAGCTATTAAATCACCAGGAAATTCTCTTTCAGCTTTCAGGTCCCATCGAAGTCACCCACCACAGAGCTAGGGATTCCAATTCGCTCATCCTGACTACAAGGACACACTGATAATGAGTAGTCTTGGCACTTCTCCCTCCAGTAACCACTTTTCAGGTCTTTTCAGTTAAGACAGCTAATGCGTAAGGGCTGACACAGGCTAGACACAGGCTCGTGATAAGACAGATTTAGGCCAGGGATTTCAACTCTGACTACGAGGACACACTGATAACGAGAATTCCTGGCACTTCTTCCTCCAGTAACCACTTTTCAGGGGACCGGGTTAGCTTTGACACTCTTTATTGAAGTGTGACTGGACGCTCTACAATCATCTAGTAGCAGCAGAGTTTGACTGACATCCTTACTGGTTCTTTTCAGTTTCTACAGCGGAAGTTCTCAACACTCGAATCAGTTCATCTCGGACATCCTGCAGAGATGCTTTATCACAGCCTGCCCCATTACACGGGGAACCCTTAGATCTACAGTACCCTGGTGGACAGCTTAGCTCTTTAAGCATAGTGGACCTCTTTAGTTCTGAGACGCAAAGCTAACCGGACCAGGAATAAACATCAATGCAATGCTTAGGGGATGCAAATAGGACATACAACGTTTAACGATTTACTCGAACTTTTGATTCATTTTTAAGCTCGACGTTACATGGTATCAATTCAGGACAGATATTCCTTCTTCAGGTTCATTGAGGAAATCGTACCCGCTATTTGCGTTATACATGGCAAGTATCTGGACTAATGATAACTTAGGACCTCAATCAATCATAAATTCCTTTCAGATTCCCAGGCTGCATTTAAAGCCCTTAACAGCACCAATTTTAACTCCAGGTTCGTTCTGAACATCTCAGACCAACTCAACTCGCTAGGTTTTCTCATCGAGTAGAACTTTGTTCCAGGACATGAAGGAGTATACGGTAAAGAACTATAATCAACACCCAAATAAAAGATAACCTCTTCAATCTCCATATCAAGAAGTATAAACAGGTGGCACTCAGTGATAAAGGAAAAACCCCACTAACATTTTTCCTCAACAAAAACAGGTACAAGGAAATTAACATCACAGGTACTCACATCACTACATCAGATGGCTAACATGGCTACTATCAGGACACAGCCCACTAGCATACTTCCAGACGGTAGCAAACAACTCTAATTTCGAAACACAAGACTGTGAACACTGCCCAGGGGAAGCAGAAACATCACAACACTTCCTATGTGAATGCATCCAGCTGATGACAACTAGAATGAGGATATTTGGTAAACCCATCCTAACAATTGAGGAACTCATCAATAGTAAACTCGACCACATTATCAAATTAGTGGAACAGTCAACAAGGTTTGACAGAGACGATCTATTTGGATAAGCATCTAGGACATACACCAAGGATCATAAACAATCATACACTAGACCCACACAGGACTATCTCAGATAGTGACACATATTCAGGTGTGGACCATGCTCGGAAGTCCCTCGCCTGCCCGCCAAAGAAGAACATCTGAAGTGGGTTTGCTCTGAGCAAGGTAGTAACAGCTTCGAGACTCTAGAGGTCTGTTGCGTTGATATCTATTATTCTATGTTTTTGTATATACTTAGGGAGTCCTGGAGTGTGGCTAGCAGGAGTCACACTCTGTGGGCACGGCGAGAAGGCCTCCCTCTTCACTAGGAGGCCAGAAACCGTTGACCAAAACAGAGAGAGAGAGAGGGTCTTAGAGCAATACTACCAGATTTTGTTAATTACTGGTACAAAGATGGTACACCACCAGCAAGTACCAAGTCTGGTTTCTATGTACACAAAATATTGACAGTTCATAGTATCATCGTAAAGAACGCATTAGTTTTTATACATAAGCTGAAAAACTTCCCAAGTCTAGTGCCTCCTTCCATAAAGAAAACAATACTTAACAGTGCACCAATATTTAACGTCGCCGATCCGGATTCGAGTCTTACAACTTCATGGTCAGATGAATACGGTAAACACCCTTACAATAATTCAGTATTCTACAAAGGTCCACTATTAGCAATAAACAGATATAGTGTCGCAGCAACTTCCTTGCCAAGTCTATTCAACCTTAACATCTACAAAAGGTGCATAAAAAACATGCTCATTGATCAACAAAACGAGGGCATTGCAGACGAATGGCCTAACTTTATGTTATACAATATATAACGGGACTAAGGAAATCAGAGCGCAACATCAACCGTAATGCTAATAATAACTCTGTCTCATAAGCAAGCCATCACAGAATCAATTTCACTGCATACCATCTCAGTTACACTGCCATCAATTCGCCAGCAAAAACGGCATGACGCTGTGCGACTGATAGTGATAACAGTCGTTAAATTTTTAAAATTTTGGAATAGCTAGCTAGCCATAGTATAGCTATGCGCCTGTTTCCACTCTAACAACTCTAAAAGCGCATTAATATGATGATTTTAACTAAAGGCAACTTTTTATGTGCTCAGCTATGTTTTGTTCGACAAGCTCCATTATATACATTTTAATCGTTTCAATGAGATCTAAACTAAGAATCTTGTGTGAGTTTTGAGTTTGAATCGATAACACTTATTATATATATTATTTTTTGAGTAAACATTGGCTGGTACTTCGGGCCGGTCCCCAACAAACAAAAAATACATGCATGATTAATTTATCCCAATCAAGCTATTTATGTTATTATACAACTTCAAATTATGAAAATATGTATGAGTATAATAACTACTAACGCTCAGCGCTAATCAATAATATTCGACTTAGTGTTACCAGTGATTCGCTACCAATACCATATATAACTGAACCAACCAGTGAAAAAATCCTGAAAACCTTAGGCTTATCAGTCTCGAGGCTCTCAAGTTACATCGACTATCTGCACAAGCTGCAATTACCTGCGTCATGTGCATTGTGCAGCGTGTTTATCAATATCAGCCGTTTTTGTTTCCCTATGTTTTACAAATATCGTTTTCTGCTTGATTGATATTTTGAACCGCTGTTTCCAGTTTGAACTTAGAAGTTTTTATGTTTGTAAAAACCAAAATATCTTGGTGGTGATAATTTGACAGATAATGGTAACGTTATCGTAAGATAGGGGGACACAATGGCTATCCCTTCAGCTCTTAACCTGGCTATCAGTACTTCATTATCCATTCTAAATTCAAGATAGCAATTAAATATAAGGATTATACTTATTCAGTTTAAAAGCAGATCTGTAGTGTGTACAAATTTATACGTATCACACAGAAAGTGTGACTTTTTTGAATAATGATACAAAATATTTTGAAGGAGCAGTTGCTAAAAAACTCTTTATCACATTATGTCAACATGTGTCGAATTTATTATTATTGTATTGCTATTGAAATTAAAGAACCTTCATTTAATATTTAATTTTAAGGAAGTGTAATTTGATTATCACGTCTCGTTGTAGAATTACTGTAGGTTATTTTAATTTGCACTTGTTTCAAAAATCTGTTTTTCTAACTATTATTATGCATGTATAAAAGTCGTGTAAAATTATCGTTCCAAATGACACCGAAAATAAAAACGGTCGTTCGCTTTTGCATAATGGCTTTGAAGAACTTCCATTCGTTATCAAATTCTGTAATACTTTCTTGAATTTGAATCCCTCGATGATTGACTGAGGAGAGCAGATCTTTTTCATTTGAGTTGATAGTACATTGAAAGTTTCTGTTTTAATGTCGTTGGAAAAATGCCCTTTTTTGTTTAACTGTAATGTTTAAGCATTTGACCTTCGACGGTTTAAAGAATGAATCATTTATAATTGTCTTGTTACAACACTTGACATTTTGATACATCTCATTACCCAATGTGGCTGAATAACAAGCTAGGGATTCACTATTCCGCAGCATTCCTCCAACACCAATAGTGAGCTACTCAACGTACGAAATCACGTTTATACAGAATTTATACATTGTGATCTAGGCTAGAATTATATGGTATAACTTTTACATTTTTGCACTGCGTTCTTAATTGCTAGAGTTTTGTCTCTGCATGTTTATACTTCATCATGAATGACTTTGGATTCAATAAAAAATTCATCTCTGATCTGATAGTGATATTTCTGGTTTTACAACTCCTTCTCTTGACAGTAACTGTAAGCTGTCTTTACAATTACGGTAAGCTTGGGTTCGTTTTACAGTTACTAGTTTGTTTAAACCTTGTTCGATTAATTAAGAGGCTACAATACCACATTGCCACATTAATTACCCATACAGGAGCACGTATACTGCAGTGGTGGTAAGGGAGAGGTACAGTTGTCTTGGTATAAAGATGAGATAAACTGTACAGGGGAAATGTCATGTGATTTGTACTTCAAGAACGTCGTAATCCAGGAGGAGGGCATGGTGACGAATTTCTCAGAAGAAACAGCTCCATTTAAGTTTGGATTTTGAACTCAGGAGATTTACGTTCCTAATATTTTTGTCTCGAGTTCCACCGTTGTGGTAGTATGTTTAAACTGTTAACTGAAGCAATTGTTCTGATGCCAAGTCTAGATGATTTGTAGACACGTCATATCTAAAACTTTAAAATGCCACAGTTTTAATTATTTCCTATTTGTATGATATAGTAGTAAGTAGTATAGGACTTGTTACAATAAGTGTGACGAATGTTCTAGGTTCTAGCGTATCTTTCTTCTGAGAGAGGTGGGGCAGTCCCGTCGTCTCTCGGTCATAGTGTTGTGTGATCAATGCCATCTGTTTTAGTGATGGCTTAAGTCAACTTAAGTCGGACAACTTAACAATTTATACAAATAATAAAACTGGTATCTCTTTTACTTGAAACTCTGTTTTCAGTCGATTTGGCCATTGGCCAACGTTAAGTCTTTAGAGGCTCTGAAGAGGACCTCCAACTCATTTGTTAATTGTTACATGTTCTTTTTACCTAAACGATTTTATGCAATTCTCGCGCTGATTATTATGTGTAATGCAATGAATTTCAATATATTCCAAACTCAAAATAAACCTTTTCAACTTCTTTATTGTTGAGAATAAAATCGACTGTCACTTAAAATAAGTAATAGTTGAGAATTTTACCTTATAACTTTACAAGGCCTTAAACTAGAGTCTTTTAGCATAATTTACATATGAGTCAGTAACCATGGTAACTATGAGTTAGTAACCATGGTAACTATGAGTCAGTAACCATGGTAACTATGAGTCATGGTTTCCGTGAGCACGACAATGATTCTTCACTGTTCTAGAGGCGTGTTAGTATTGTATTGAATGCTTTTTATACGTGATAGGAATCACAAGACGAAGATTCTAACCATAATCGGAAACCGTGAAAGTTATTAACTATGATTGTGAAACTATTATGAATATGAACCTGGGCTCTTGCCAAGGCCAAGATAAGTTGGAATATTGATTGAGAATATACAAGACACTTTTCCATGCAGTGTGGAAATGTTAGTGTGACTGTTAAAGTGTAAAGTGTATAACTGTATTATGATGATATAGTTACATAGTGTTATGTTACAATGAGGTGCATCATCATATTCATATCATCTACTATTTATCCAATTTTACGTTAATGTTATTAGTGTAAGGGTTATGCCTTTAAAATATACAATTTATTATCTTGCGGATTTGTTTGGCGTTGTTCCAGACGATGGTGTTAGCGCCCCCTCAGTGCTCGGTCTACTTAACTTGTATTCCTCGTACTCGTGTGTTCCTTGTACTCGTGTTTTCCTTGTACTCGTATGTTCCTTGTATTGCTGCCGAACCATTTATAATTTGGCTGCTCATCTTACCTAATTAAACTTATACATTTATCATTTATGTAGGTTAAATTCTTTTTTTTCGGGTCTGGTAACTTTGTGAACCTATAATTATGGCTTATTTGAATTTGACGAAAATTCGATTCGTCCCGATTATGCGTTCTGATCCATGTTTAATTTTATCTGCTGATCACTGATCAGTGATAGTACAGATTTGTCACGTACACTGTACAGGTTGAGGTAGTTTCATGGAAAAATTTTGCAAAAAATTGATATCAATAACATGAAGATTGAAGATGCGTTTTCAAGTCAAGAAACAGTTTTGCCGACCTTAAACAAAACTCGTTACAACCACTGCAATTGTCAGTTTGCGTGACTCACACCAATCTTGAACCACCTAATTACCCATTGCATTTTTTTCCATCGGAAGAAGGTAATTAAATATGATGGAAACAATTTTTGGGGTTGAAGCTAAATCTTATTCGAACAGCAGCAATGCAGAAGCTGATGTTAACGTGGTTACCATGGTTACTGACTCTACTAGTTCTACAAGTTGACTCTGTCACCCAACCCAACATTGTCATGATGGTCGCTGATGATCTAGGTTCGTTGAACAAATATAAATAGTATACACATTATAGTTTATATTCACAACAACTTTAGAACTAACTCACACCTTATCAAAATTTTCCAATAATATATACGGATGCTTTTAACTTTAAGTACACATTGATATTACAATCGCTTTATTTAAAGTAACTGTCACCCCCAGGCTGGGCGGATGTGCCATGGCACGATGCTCTTACGATTGCCCCGACCCTGTCCTCACTGGCAGATACAGGGATAATACTGGACAGGCACTATGTTCAGCCCATCTGCTCACCTACAAGATCTGCGCTCATGACAGGGAAATATCCCAGCAGACTGGGACTTAACCATGATACCATCAACGCCGTGAGTTAAGGGAGATATAGCAGCACAGAGGATGTTCTACAAACAAAACTAGGCCGAAACCGGGGAAAAGGAGTCCAAGGAACCGTTTTTTGTAAAAAAATGATTACTTTTAGATAATATTTAAAATTTCAGGGAGAACCGTACGGTCTGATGGTGAACGAGACAATAATCTCCAACTACATGAGCGAGTTAGGATACTCTACTCACGCAGTGGGAAAGTGGCATCTGGGTTACTGTTCCTGGGACTTGACTCCTGCTAAGAGAGGGTTCGATTCGTTTTACGGCTACTACAACGGACACGAAACTTACTATACTAAAGTCACTCACAAGTTCTTTGATTTCAGGTGAGTTTAACGTTGAGGTAATATACCGTTGTTGATTTGTTGATATATATCAGGTTTTCGACGAATAGCATCTTTAGCACGCATTAAACGAAAGTGTTCGTTGTGATGATTCCCCGATTTAATCCCGATGTTGTGTGGTCTACATCATTTGATCAAGATATAACGCATATTTCCAATTCCAAGTTTATGATATAGCTGTGATCAAGGCTTCTAGAACGTCTTATTTCCTCCCAGGTTGGACACCCGAGCGGTACACTCAATCAATATTCCTCCCAGGTTGGACACTCAAGCAGATGACGGATCCGTAAACAGTGAAGTTGTCTGGAAGGCTAATGGCACTTACTCTACCGAGCTTTACGCTGACCGAGCTGCGCAGGTTTAAATGAAAACTGATTAAAAACATAAAATATTTAATGTTTTAAAATATCCAAGTTTTAAAACTTTTCATTTCAACATTGACTTGAATAACATATATTTTAAATATACAACAATATCTGTATGATATCTGATGATAAATTGTAGTCATTACACAATAACTCTACTCTTACAGATAATCAAATATCACAATCCATCCCAACCTCTGTTTCTGTATTATCCCATGCAAAGCGTCCATTTCCCCAACGAGGTCCCTGAAAAGTACCTTAAGGTAAGCAATAATCCCTCAAATTGCATTGAAAATTCCCAAAACTCAGATAATATTGCACTTGCAGGTTATAGAGAAACACGATCAGAGCAAGCCTCTGTTCATGTACCTACCATTTCAAAGTGTCCACAACCCAAACGAAGTGCCTGATAGTTATTACCAGGTTTCTGCATGGTCAACATGTCACATGTCACATGTTATCAGCTCGTCTATTGGAATTTGTGCTGTAATTTGTAATTGGTAATTTGTAATTGGTAATTTGTAATTGGTAATTTGTCAGTACTGTGTTATTGTGGTAATTGTGGTAATTGTAGCGAATGATCGAGTGACGCCCACTCCTCGAATGGTAGGTAGCCTTCAAACAGACTTTTCTTCAAACTGCGCTGTTCAGGTTCCCCCACTTTTAGCTTTCGCATATGCTTGGCATGATTCTTTCCCTTGCTGTAGACGTAGTTACAGTGGATAAGGCGACTGTTTAAAGTTGAATGACAAGTGATATTTGATGTCAGTTTTTTGAAGTTATTTATTGGCCCTAATTCTTCTGGCCCTAATTCTTCTGGATGGACGTATCATGGACCATTCAATACATATTTGTCCTGTTCTTGCTTTTTAAAATTTAATGAATCTTAGATTATAAATATACCTGTATGGAAAATGAATGTGATTAAAAATTGAAATAAAAATGGTTTTGAAGGTATTTAATCGCACGGCTGGCCTCCCAGAGCCATCACATGATTATCGCATCGTAGGTCGAACATGGCATGTGAAATACATAATCAATTTAACACTTATAAGTTTTTAAAACAAATACAGCGAATTATAGAATTAAAACTGTCATCAAATACATGAAATAATGTTGCAGATGTACGAGGGGATAGTGGAGAACGAGAAAAGGAGAACACTGCTCGCAATGGTGACTGCTATGGATGATGCTGCTGAGGTGAATTTTTATGTTCTTAAATTAAAATGCTTATTTTGAAAGTAAGTTAATTTGTTTACTAAATTTTGTAATATGTGATCAGAAAACTATGAAAATGATATGGTTATTTGCTGAAATTATTTAATAAACTTTAACTTTGCAGGTAGTAGTAACGGCTCTAAAACAGTCTGGAATGTGGGAAAATACTGTCTTTATCTTCTTCAGCGACAACGGAGGACCACTCGAGGGAATAGGAAATGGCCAGGTTAGTAGTTAACCTATAAAATAAGAAATGTATAATGTATAATGTATAATGTATAACAAATGGGGGACAGGCACGTAGCCAGGATTTATCTTTGTGTACGCTGTTCACTGTTATGTAGTTGGTAAATGTAAAACAAACTTTTTTGATCAGCCTCGCGCTGAACCAGTGTTGCAAAGTAAAAATTGTGTATTTTTTGTACATTTTTGTGTGTAAATTAATTTATTAATTTATCACTTGTACACATATTATCACAAATTATTTTATTATAATAAAACCACTTCTGTGAAATTGTGATTTTGACTTAAAATACTTAAACTAAATATCAAATAATTGTGGGTATAAATAAAATTTTATATAGGGTGTTTTAGACTACATTTGGCATTAAAGAATTTTGTAGGACAGCAATAAACTGGGACTGAAAAGAATCAAGTACTCACGTAAATTTGGTAACTTCACAAGAGCAATCTGCATTCTCCAATCAGAATTTACGACTTACTCAGGCCTCATTGTCTTGATAATTTGACGATTTTGAAGATTTTGACGATTTTGAAGTCAATTGCCTACCGTTTCAACAGTACAGACTGCAGTCATAAACACAGCCCAGTTACCTGGCCCCCCCTCCCTTGGCTACGTGCCTGATGGGCTGGGACCATCAGTCGTTGGGTGTTGAGCTTGACAGTACAATATTTCTGGACGAAGAAGATATTATGTGTTTGTAGGAAATTAAAAATAATGTAGTCCTGATCGAAGATCGAAGATGGTAGAATAATAATTGATCCGTTTACAAGAGGCCCCAATCACAGATTATGGTTGACGATATAAACATATAAATATAAAACTTTTTGGTAAATTTGTGCTATACAGCTAAAATCATGAGCAACAACTTGAGAAGCTTGTAACATGACAATAAAATTAATTCAGGTAAACTACCCACTAAGGGGAGGTAAATATTCGTACTGGGAAGGTGGAATCAGATCTAGCTCCTTCATCCACTCTCCCATGCTACCAGGTAATTAATATATACAGCTCGTTTATCTGTATACCACCTGTATACCACCTGTATACCACCTGTATACCACTTGTATACCACCTGTATAGTGTATACCACCTGTATAGTGTATACCACCTGTATACCACTTGTATACCGCCTGTATATCACCTGTATACCACCTGTATACCACTTGTATACCACTTGTATACCACTTGTATACCACCTGTATACCACTTGTATACCACCTGTATAGTGTATACCACCTGTATAGTGTATACCACCTGTATATCACCTGTATACCACCTGTATACCACTTGTATACCACCTGTATACCACTTGTATACCACTTGTATACCACTTGTATACCACTTGTATACCACCTGTATACCACTTGTATACCACCTGTATACCACTTGTATACCACCTGTATACCTGTATACCACTTGTATACCACCTGTATACCACTTGTATACCACTTGTATACCACTTGTATACCACTTGTATACCACCTGTATACCACCTGTATAGTGTATACCACTTGTATACCACTTGTATACCACAGATAGAGCTGTATGCCGTGAAATCTATTCGAACCTTACTTCTACGGGGTCCGGAATTTCATCTATTTCCAGTGTCAGAAATGTACAATCTCCCTAAAATACCTAAACTTTTTAATGTGCTCAGGTGGAGTGATTAACCAAGAGCTGCTCCATGTAACGGATTGGTTACCCACTCTTGGGCACTTGGCAGCTTGTGGTGTTGAACCCAACGATCAATGTACAGGTTAGTTAAGTTTGGTGAAAACTGTTAACAAGATTTTGTATCTAGTGTTTATATTGGCCGAGATTATGTAACTTGTATCGATAGTAATTAAAACTTGGGAATCACGGAACACCATACCAGCACCTCCACTTTCAGGGCCCGATATGGGAGACATTGATGGAGTTAACCAGTGGAACGCTATAGTTGGGGCGGGAAAGAGTAACCGGACAGAGTTTCTTGTTAACATCGACCCAAAGGCTAAGAACTCTGCTCTAAGATGGGGACCCTGGAAGCTTTACCATGGTCTGTAGTGTTTTATAAAGTAATTAGCAAACCCGTGGTCACAGTACAGGGAGGAAGCTAATACTAATAGTATTCTTTGGTAGTCAGTTTTTATTGCATCAAAAAATATCCTACACAACCGAAGATACAGCCGATTAAAATGTTGCTGGCACTAAACACAAGTGCAACGTAATATCAACAAAACCGATAAAAATGCCGTTCTAACAATCTTTGCACGTGCACGTGCGTGTAACAACCTTCGTTCTTTTTACCTTATTTGCACGTGGGCGGTCGTACATACATTATACATTAAACAGACAGACAAACATAGTCTTTCGAATTATAAGTATGATTACATTCGATAATTAAAGCACAATTTACGCTTTACGAATTTCATCGCAACTTTTAATCCAGATGTAGTAAAAAGTTTGTGACTAATTCTCCTCGTCACATAATCTACTATCTAATACATAATATACAAGCTAATATTACCGTGTCTCGTAACTCCTTTATCATAGGTAACCCCGGTAAAGGTGACTGGGTACCACCACCCAGCGTAAACGAACATCGCTACAACCAGCAGTTTACACATGGACTGAGGGACAGGAACAAGTTCGAAACTGACCAGGAGTATGTTTTCTCTGAGGGTATCTATAATCCAGACACGGTGAGTTATATCCGTATATGGTTACTATAGTAACTGAGTTTTATTTGATAAACAGATGAGAACTTATCAAAAGAAGCGGTTTTTTAGTGCTCATAGGGACATAGGTATTTCGAAGTATTCATCCATCCTCGAGTGACTTCAAATGACCATTATACTTATAGTTGATATGTGGATGACATATTTTTGTACGAAAGCCTTCCTATTCGAATATTCAGATCATGTTGTTTGACGTTGAAGCAGACCCAGCAGAAACAAATGAAGTATCAAACGACAATCCCGACGTTGTGAACACAATGCTAGAAAGACTAGTCTACTATGAAAGCCGGGTAAGTGTTCGCGCAGATTATCTAAATACAGTATGATGAATAATGAATATTATCAATTATCATACAGTCTTGGTTGGTATACCGTTGGTATACCGTTAAATCGATTTAACACCGCAATTCCAGTCGCAAGCCTGGGACCACTACTAGCATTGTCACAACATCTACAAAGCTGCCATATAGCCTGACTGACAATTTTCTCGACTGACTGACAATGTTTCTTCTTTTCCCCATTTAGAATACAAAGATTAGTACATTTTAGCTTATGATTAATATTATATTTTTACCTATAGTTTACCTAGATTGATACTATGTTAATGATAATGATTAACATACAGTGACAATTGGAAATAATTCTTGACTATCAGTTAATCATTATCATTTGTATAGTAGCAATGATTAGTGTTTGCCGCCACAATATGACACTAAAGCATTTCATTCTGTAATCCAATTTTTTTCAGACAATTCCTCCAAGAAATTGTGTTAGAGACCCTGCCTCCGATCCTGCTCAATTTGGAGGAGTTTGGACTCCCTGGTTGAAAACGTGCTAGTCGTTCATATCAGCAAACTGTGAACAGATCATGAATCTTAACTGTTATTGTTAACTAATCTAAATTCCGAACCATATACATAACGGCATAACAATATTTATATATATCTGATATAACCAACGTACAATCGTATTCGTACATTGTAAATGCATTTTCAAAAAGGAACTGTCCTTTTGTATGCTGCCTTGTATAGTAATTTTTTATATCAGTGTTTACCGTGACCCTCAAAGTGTAATGAGGTTATGTTAAAAGTGTTAAGTGAATTTTCACTACGATGCCCTTCATAGAATTGAAAAAATGAAATAATTTATAAAAGTAAACTGTTTGCATGATTGGTTTTTTAGTTTTTATTTCAAATAAACTATGAGTAAAATATATGACATAGATAACAAGCTTGTTTAAATTGGTAAATATGTCTATTCACTATTGTCTAATAATATATGACTTTTTGGTGATCTAAATGGGGCACACTATTATATCTCCACAAATCGAAAAACGTATTTGCATGATTTTGATCTGGTAGTGGTAGTATATATAGTGGTATCCAACTTTGTACGTATGTGCATGAGCGGTTAGAAATTCCAGAACCTTTCACTTTCAGTAAACCTTAATTCCCAAAAATTTGGGCGACAAAAAATTTGAGCGGGCCTCTCGCCCAAATTTTTTGCAGACCAAATTAATTGCATAAATCTTTTCCGTCTGCTAAATTTTTTGCTAACCAAACTTTTGGCATTTGGCCTGTGGCCCTGAAATCTATCTAGAAAGATGGCTTTTTCTTCATATCCAAGTGAAATAATATTTGAAATTTTAGTTTTCTAATCTGTCATTCATGGCTTGACCATGTAAAAAGGCTTATATTTTAAATGAATAGAAATAACTGGAATAGCTAACATCTACTAATAAAACAAATGGCTAGAGGTACGGATAGAGTCTAGAGATGTAAACAAGATCTGCAAATGGATTATCATCCACCGTAAAGTCTGATCTACAAGCATCAGTTATACCCGACTTCCCAAAGCCTTTCCTTATGTCATCTGGCCTCCCTTTTAAATATACAAAAAGTTCGTTGATCCAACGAGCGTGTACTTCACGGATCACTGTCAAGCGGGTATCAATTTTCACATTGTCTGATGAAACTCCTCCATTGAGCTAACACACTGTGTTTTTCGCGTACCAATCTTCGTACTTATTGCGCATGAATTTCTTAGCCAGTCCATTGATAGATTAGTTTGATAGATTAGTTTGATAGATCATGTAATGATGTAAACCTTCTAATTTTCTTCCAAACCTTTCGACCATCTGGTGAGGCGTCATAATGATAATTGTATGTGAAAGGGGTATGATAAGATATGCTGAGTGTAAATAGACTAAACTATCTGATTGAGAGACTAAATATCACTATTGTATATTTATCTTGTATCACGTTGCGACCCCCACGGTCGTTTCACTATGTTACGACGATACAAGGGGGGGCCTCGGGTCATACAACGTATGACAATTTCATTTTGTACTGTGCCATCATCACTGTATTTTTTAGTAGTTACTGAGCAGATCGTAAATTTCACAATGTGAAACAACTCAAACTACCACCTACATGCTTAAAATTGAAAGCAAAATGACTGGAATAATAAGGAATAATAATGAACTAAGGCAAATATCTAACTGAAATTTTAGTGGAAAATCGTTCATTTTTCGAAGAATTTGTGCCCAAATTTTCGGTCGCCCAAATGAGTTCAAATTTTCTGCCCAAATTTTTCGGGCTCAAATAAATTGTGCTCAATATAATGGCACACAAATTTTTGGGAACTAAGGTAGTTTTAATTCTCCTGTTTTCCACTCAGTTCTGGTATAGCTAACAGGAAAATAGATTGATATCCGACTATTTTCGATTCAGCAGCCAAATCTCTAAACCGGTACTCGCGGTTACTAGTCGTTTGTGATAATATAAAGTGTGGTATGTGGTAGATATTTATATAGCGTACTCTACAATCTAGATCTATAAAACGGAGTAAGAGTTACTACGTTAGTCTTTTATCTCTCCGCTAAGTCTACAATTCTGCTAACTAACAATTGACTTATGAGTATGAGGACAATTAAATGTTCATAGATATGGATCATAGAGATTACATTCACAAATAATTGAACAGCATGAGACAAGTGGAAAACAAACAAACGAATAGATAACAAGCTCGTTTACTTCAAAAAGTTTATTTTCATGAATTTTTGTTTTTGATAATCACTGACGTTCACTAACGTTCAATAACGTTCACTACAAAATGAGTGGAACGTGCGTTCAATACGTCAAAATCCACCGTTCACTACAACTAAAATTCAAAATCACTGAAAATGCACCATTCTGCAAATTTAATATAATATGCATCAGTCACTGACTGAGCAATTGGCCAGAGAGCTCCATAGAACTATAAAAGTAAGGGGCCTACTCTAGCCAACAGTTCTACTACTAGCAAATTACCTGAGGTAGTCTCACGACAATTAGTGCAATGTGCACAAGATATTCTTGAGCAGTGACAAATTTAAACCCAAATTTCACTGTTTCGACTGAATTTTTCTTCATGCTTCAATGACCATATTACAAGGACACTGAGGAATGAGGATTAGATGGCACAAGACACGATTGAGGTACTCAATAACTTTGATTGACGATGTCTACCCTTCCAGATCGTTGCTCTGCTTGTCGATCTTGTCGATCTTGTCGATCTTGTCGATCTTGTCGATCTTGTCGATCTTGTCGATCTCGTCGATCTTGTCGATCTTGTCGATCTTGTCGATCTTGTCGATCTTGTCGATCTTGTCGATCTTGTCGATCTTGTCGATCTTGTCGATGCGAAGCAAGAATGCTAGTTTGCGCGGTGCGTCGAAGCGGCGAAGTCCTCTAATCAATAACTCAAAGTTTTATTCCCAAAGAAAGCTTTGATAAACGGAAAATCATCAGAATATAAAAAGAGATTTTGGAATATTTTTGAAAAGAAACATTTCTGCAGTCCCCTTGACCGAAATTTCGCGGTTTTTACTGAAATTTCGTCGTGGCAGCATGCTGCTCTGATTTATAAAGTGGATCATGACTCATGCAAGCGTTTATTTATAATATTGTACGTGTAACGTGACTCATTTAGCTGTAAAAACTTAGTGGTCTTAATTAGTAGTCGGTATGAATTATTAGTCACGGTATGTCGATTATGTAGCAGATACTGCTGCAACCAAGTTGTATATCCCGGGATTTTGGTTGAGGTTAATTGCAATTACATGTTAACGATGATAACTTTCAAGTTTCTTCCTACTTATACAGTAGCAATCAATCCTTTCTAGTCTCAATTTAGGAATACACTGCACCTTTCAGTACGATAAGGATTGGGGTTTAAAATACATTAATCGTTGCGTCTTACTCCAGTATAGTAAGGCTAATTTTATTTTAATTGGCGCAAGGTTCTGGAGCTATAATATAGTGCTGAGATCATATTACTGTTAAATTAGCTTTACGGGCCTCTCAGTCAGATTTCGAACAATGAAAAGTTTTCAATGGGATGTTCATGCATATGACATCGACCCTGCGACAGTCCCTGCACTACATGTATCAACATAATTACACATATTATGTCTCGCGTAAAAATAGAAGGCTCCTGCGTGACCACGAGGACTGTTTCAGCTCTGTATCTCTATAATAGCCATCTTATTATCGAGGCCGTTTTAAATGCCTAATCGATTGAACTGGCCATGCTACCATTTGCATATAGGCACGCTGTGTAGGATTCCTCTCACTGATCTATTTACATAAGTGATTGGCTTGTCTCTTAGAGAAAGGATCTGAACTGTTTGCGGAGTATTTTACGGTCATTTGCTTGAGCCACTGTCCTTGATAACCCATTAAATGCCTTATCTTGCGGTTACTTCTGCAACCAGACATGTTTTCAGCAACTGTCAGTGTCATCGATGATTGTTATAGATTTTTCTTATTTTATGGATTTTTGGAATTGCATTAGTGAGACAACAAGATTGGAGATTGGCATACACAGTGCACATCAGTTTCAATCGTTCAAAAGAATGGCGCTCTTTTACTTTTAGACGAAATTTGTTATACGAGCTATAATATCTAGCTGTAACTATTACAGCTGTATTAGCTGCAGATAGTTATTACTTATATTTGCTACTGTGGATACTTTGCTCAGCCAGTCACAACTTACGACTTAGTCTTAGGCAGGCCAACAAACGGGCTCCTTAACTGCATAGTATCTCTTATCGGTATGCCATAGTCCTTATCATATAGATTGATTCTGTGCTTTATTTCCTTTCCAAATCGATTTGATCGAGACATATTGCTTTAAAGAACATTTGACAATATATTCTAGCCATTCAACTAATTCATCACCAAGACCACGTACTAGGGCCAGGAGATGCTGACGCTTGTGTTAGCCTCACACCATAGCTATGTGTAAACATCTTGACAATATGGGGGAGGCGTAACTTCAAAAATAAATTTCTGGCTTTATTATTAATATTATCAAAATATATGGTCAGTTGCTTTGTAACAGAAATTTGACAACTACAAACTTACAAAAAAAAACACATCATTAAGGTCTCGATGATGAAATTGTAAATACCAATTTCTTCATACTCAAAGTTATTTAGAACGTCTTTTTCAATGTCATTGAGTCAGGTAGAGAATTAAAAATAAAATCAATCAATTTTGGTGGGTGGATGGGTATGGTTTAGTTTGGTTGTGAATAGACATAGTGACTTTTATTAGTGTTAGGGTTGCACTTCCTGTCTCGGCTTGATGGCTCTAAATAGTTTAGCCCGGTAAATTTGAGTTTAAAAGTTTCGCTTTAGAAGTAAAATATGTGGAGACAAATACTTGAGAAGAGCCTGACTTTTTAAGGAATAATCCAATGGTAGAAATGATCTGAAACTTTCGATTAGAGATTAAAATTATAAATTAAGAAGTTCATTGTTTTACTTTTGCAACTCCGGGCGGCTCTATATTTATCTATTTAGAGAGCACAAATCAAAATTAGCGTCCACATTAATTTTTGATTACAATTATGTGCGTCAGAGTCACTTAGGCAATTGAGATTTATGTCTATGATTGTATTTATTTAAAAGAATGGGACCCTAGGTATGACATTGGAATTTTCAAATTTTGTTGAGCATTTTTCCCGCCAATAGTAGATGTTAGCATTTAATGGCACATATTTGATATTTCTCATAACCCATGCATAAATGTGCATGTGTCAATTTCGGTTTTTCTTTCCGGATCATTGGAGCCAGCCTATCTCTCCAGCCTCTCTCTCCTCCGAGGTAAATTGTTTTTTATCTGGTGTCCGAAAAAAAAAGGCGTTTTTGCAATTCCCTCAGACAAAACTTAAATGCAGCTCGATTCCCGATAGTCTGAAGGTCTGCCAGATTTTACGATTGTGGTCATTGCTTATACCGCTTCTTGAGTCTTGTGTTCTATATGGAGGCCCATATATCTACAGTTGAAGTTTAATTCTATATTTTTATGCCCATAAATTTCCCCCTAAACAGTTTGGATGGTAAAAGTTGTTTGGTGTTTCTAGAATACTGGACTGTAAATGAATCCATGGTTTTGGCTGAATACGATCAACACAAGTCATTTGAAAGCTTCTGGAAGGAACAAAATGTTCGAACACTAAGATGTTTCAATAACCTCCTCCAATATGGTTTAGGGTTCTTTTCCAGATTCAGTTGCGTTGCTGCTAGGCTTCAGTTAAACTAACATGGTGATCATGTCATAGATTTAACCTGATGTTTAGATTTGTCTACGTCACATATGTAATTTTGAAAGTAATGCGTTTATTGATGGTGACGTCACCATGACGTCACCATGGTTCACTGACAGAGCCAGCATCCTGCTGCACTGTCGTCAAGGAAACAGCGTTAGCTATATATATATATATATATATAGATATAATATACATATATAAACACATAACTTAACGCACAGACGAACATATTATACAACAGCTGCCAGGCAATTTCAACTCGACTATAATACCGCACATCCCTCCTCCGGGTCAAGGGCTATAATGAGCCGTATAACTATATTATCATCATGTAATTGTAAACATCTTAAATAAGATCCTTCACAGTACTCGGGTAGTAGTATATTATGCCAAAGTTGCAGTAAATCTCACGTATTTAGTTGGCTGTGTGTTGGGTGATACGAGAAGGATGTAATGGTCATGTACGGCCTTGAGTCGGACTTTGCCTCGGACAGGGACATCTTCTCAGACCAGGACATATTTTCGCTACCTCTATCAGAGGATTCGTACATGTTCCAGGTAAACATTTACGCCATTTCAAACGGTTTTTACACGGTTTACAAACTATTGAAAGCTATTAAAAGCTACATTTCTGACGTGGTTTTGTATATTGAGTAGAAATAAATTTGGGTCAACAGTTTCAGAATCGAAAGCGAACACCTTAATATTTCCTCTAATTTTACCGAAACAGATTTTCTCTCTGGCGGCCGACCATCAAGGACCGTGAAAATGGTATCATAGATTTCATAATCATGTTGATGTAGCTTAATAACCCTAGCTATTGAAGAATGTTTAAATTAACAACTATAGTAATAATAGTAGAAGTAGAAGTATTGATGATACACCTTAGGCTTATCTAATAACTTTCTTTAACAATAAAGCCGAGATTTATATAGTATTTGTTGAACAATGTTTTATCATTTAAATTGCATTGATGGTTTTTGTGTTTCCCAACTTTGTAGCTGACCTGAATTGTCTTTCAGCAGAAAAATCCCGCCAGAAAGGGACCCCCAATCAGGAACCAATTGATCAGGTCCCACAACAGCACCCCCTGCACGCGCTCCAGCACCCCCTCCGCAAACCCTCGTGCCAGCAAACTTCAGACTATCTTCAAGCGTGACAGCCCTCTGATACCTGTTACCTTGACTTTAGACCAAGTGATGGAATATGAGTCCGCGTTCAGGATGTACGATATCAACGGAGACGGTGTTATTTCTGTGCTCGAGTTTAAAACTCTTCTCCACACTGTCGGTTGGTTCCTTACAATTTTATCGTCTTAATGCTTCAATGACTCATTATGGATGATAAAGTGCATTTTACAGTATTATAGTTGTTTCTGGTTGAAAATAATTTTAATATCAGGTATTGTGCTATTCTGATTTCTGATCAATTCCAAACTGCAAACCCGTTGAATTTTCACTTTACTGTCCATTAGCATTTAGTTATCCAATCTGTTTTTTAGTGGTTGCTCTCTTTCAGGTTTAAAGCCATCAGATGAGGAAGTAATGGAAATGATAGAAAGTGTAGATATAGACGATAACGGGGTCCTCTCCCTCTGCGAATTCATCAGACTCATGTCAAACAAGCACAAACCTTTTGTCACCCCCAAAGCTCAGTTTGAGGCAGTTTTCCGAGCGTTTGACTCCGACGGTAACGGTCAATTGAGTCGGGAGGAATTCAAAAAGTCTCTGTTCAGCGTGGGTCAAAGGTGCAGTGAGGATGAGTTTGAGAATTTGATGGGCGAACTGGACCGAAATATGGACGGTCGAATAAGTAAAAAGGAGTTTCTTAGTGTGTTTCTCACGCAAGGTCACAGTAATGCTGCCTGCTGAGGATATTTTCAGTATTTTAATTGAAGAGATTCTGATTCGATTTCCAATTTTTGACAATATCTTTCATAAAATTCTTCAAAAGGATCCAACGTTATGAAAGATTCTATTTTTTAATTTTTTAGAGCGATTTAGGAAAATCGAACTAAAGGTGTTATAATTTAATGGATGATTCAAGTTCAATTTAAGATTTTTTTTGTATTTAACTTCAAGTGATCTCAAAAATATTTGAATCAAACTGTTTTCAGAATAGTGGCTAATAGGGCTTCAAGTTCAGCTTGATCGGAAATGGGACTATGATTGGGAGCTCGCCTACACGGAGAATACTTGTTTGTCTACTTTTGGAGAGGTTAAGCGTCGGGTAGAAGATATTACGGGCTCTTTTTATTGATCTTTCAGCTATTTGATTTCTGGACAGATATTTTTGATCTACCGTTTAATTCAATATCAACAAATGATTATGAATAAATTTTTTGTTAGATTTTATATATTTTCGTAAAGGAGTTTCCTCAATTATTCATAAAACAGAATACAATAAATTTAAAATTTTACCATCTATCATTATCATTAATACTCTTAGAAGATCATCCCACCGACTCAAAAACCTATCTTAGGTCAATTAATAGATTAATTTAATCTACAAATTCTTAGAAATTTTAAACCAATTACAAACGCTTTGTCAAAGCAGAATAATAAAACATTACTTTATCTTAATAAGGTTGAGCATATCAATTTAAACAGATTTAACGGATTTCTCTTAGAGGTCGTTCACATACTACGTAATCAGCCGAGGAGGGGGGGTTTCCAAATGCTTACGGTTGATTACGCGGGGGGGGGGGGGGGTTTGGTCGTTGATTACCTGATCAAAACTCTCTTTTTTACCCTCTAGAATAATAACAATTGGACAATATTTTAATTCAAACTCCACTCAATTTCATTCTGATAGTGATAAAATTTAGAAATTGATCGGATATTCGACTATTATAGTTATAAGTCGAATATCCGATCAATTTCTAAATTTTATTAATAATATTAGTGAGTTTTATTAATAGTATTAGTGAGTAGTTTGAAAGGTGCTAGGCCAGATATCATAACAATTATATTATAACAATGATATCATAACAATGATATCGGCTCATCATGATCAGGGTAGCATGAAACTTAAAGAAAAAGTCAAAGGGGGGGGGGGGGGGGGGGGGGGGGGGTCAGGCCATGATTACGTTATATTGCTGTCAGGGGGGGGGGGGGGTTGGGTCTTGATTACGGTTGATTACGGAGGGGGGAGGGGGGTAAAAATTGCTAAAATAATGATTTGGTAATATGTGAACGACCCCTTAATAGACCGATTTAACGATGCTAAAACACAAATCGGCGTTTTGTTATGAGTTATTACCTCCTTCTACGAGGCGCTTTTTTACTAGTACTACCAATTCGACTGAACACTAAGACTTACACGACGTATAGTAAAATAGTAAAAGTATAATAAAATAAAATGACTATGATTGTTTCCTTTTGCAAGCTCTTATCGATGTATGTGAGCCCTATATTGGTTCAAATTAATTAGGTGTTTTTAATCTAATTTGGTCTGTTTAATAAGTACAACCTTCAACCCAACAACCGTATAAAGGAAATGTTGACTAGTGAGAGTTAATTGCAAGACAAATGATTTTAGCTGAATGGTAAGAACAAAAGCTCCACGTGTGATTGTATTGCCGGACCTAATCAACCAATATCTCACACACAGCTGTATTGTGTTTAGTTGTGTTGTGTAGGTATTCAAGAGGCACAACAATAAACCTTTATACAATTTTGACACTGCATCTCGCTTGTCTCTGCCCTGAGAACTGTATAAGATTCAACATTGCTACTTTATATGATTTTAGCTTTGATAGAATCGGATTTTAAAAAAATTTTCAAAGCATTAATTGGCGATGGAATGTTTTCATGAGTACAGTCCTGTACTGTGGACCTGTGCGCTGACTGCCTTCAGCCTCTTCGATGTTGTCTACTTCTTACGGCATATTTGGGTAGCAATTGAGGTGAGTAAGTTTGTTAGTCAGTTTGTTTCATTACCTCAATGCTAACACATTACAACCAGGTTTAGGGTTAACTACCAAGTTATCTAATGAGTCAAGTTTGATGAAAATGTTTTACATTTTTTCTTTCTTTGTGGCTACTTCGACCACTAACCTTACCATTTTCGGAACATCATTATCTTTACTGAGTTATGCTCGATGAACAAGGATGATCCTATGAATTTGATGTGCTACACCATGTACTATTATAGCTATTGTAGCTACTTCATGTAGCATTGTAACTTTTGTAGCTACATTATGTAGCATTGTAACTATTGTAGCTACATCATGTAGCATTATAGCTATTGTAGCTACATCATGTAGCAATGTAGCTATTGTAGCTACATTATGTAGCAATGTAGCTATTGTAGCTACATCATGTAGCATTGTAACTATTGTAGCTACATCATGTAGCAATGTAGCTATTGTAGCTACATCATGCAGCATTGTAACTATTGTAGCTACATCATGCAGCATTGTAACTATTGTAGCTACATCATGTAGCATTATAGCTACATCATGTAGCATTGTAGCTACTTCATGTAGCATTGTAGCTACTTCATGTAGCATTGTAACTATTGTAGCTACATCATGTAGCATTGTAACTTTTGTAGCTACATTATGTAGCATTGTAACTATTGTAGCTACATCATGTAGCATTATAGCTATTGTAGCTACATTATGTAGCAATGTAGCTATTGTAGCTACATCATGTAGCAATGTAGCTATTGTAGCTACATCATGCAGCATTGTAACTATTGTAGCTACATCATGTAGCATTGTAGCTACATCATGTAGCATTGTAGCTACTTCATGTAGCATTGTAGCTACTTCATGTAGCATTGTAACTATTGTAGCTACATCATGTAGCATTGTAACTATTGTAGCTACATCATGTAGCATTGTAACTATTGTAGCTACATAATGTAGCATTGTACCTACTTCATGTAGCATTGTAGCTACATCATGTAGCAATGTAGCTATTGTAGCTACATCATGTAGCAATGTAGCTATTGTAGCTACATCATGCAGCATTGTAACTATTGTAGCTACATCATGTAGCATTATAGCTATTGTAGCTACTTCATGTAGCATTGTAGCTACATCATGTAGTATTGTAACTATTGTAGCTACATCATGTAGCATTGGTTGTTGGTAAAGTCTGCCAGTTTCCTGAAACTTGAATATTTGATCCTTAGTAAGTTAGCATAGTTATACTGAAACAGAGTGGTTTAAAGCACATCTTTTGTTCCAGCTACTTACCAGGGACAGTCAGAACAATTAGCGATATAAAACGATACAGATGATACAGTCTGTGAGTTTACTGTTACTGATAGTGGACTGTTAGTGGCTAAGTAGCTGTATCGATACTTCTGGAGAAGTCGTCGTGTCTGATCATAACTGCAGGAAAGTTCATTGCTACGTTCAATTAGGATCAGTTAAGGATTAAGGAAACGTACAGTATTTCTGCTGAAACAATTACCCTTACAATTACAATCCCCAAGGGCTGCAGCCTACCGCGTGGTAATGGTATCTTGGTGAAGAAATTTCCTTATTTTAGTGATAGGTTTACCGTGGAGTTTGGAAGAAAGTTTTAGTACCGGATGGTAAAATGGGTTTGACAGTTGACTCACGGCTAAAAACATGGGCGTTTGATTCGATTCAGTGACTTTGTCACTGTAACGTCATAATATAATTATAATAATTAACTTTACATATAGTCCGGTTTAATTTTAAACAACTCAAAGCCATGATGAAATACCTCCTTGCTAAGCCGTGATCAGGCAGGTGCAATTCGTTCACTTATTACGTAAGCCAGCTTACGCTAGTGCAATTTCAACAGATTAGTTATGTCTTCAGTCAAAGTGGCTTCCGGAGAGATGGAGGGTCTGGGTTAGCCTAAATCTGGCTTATGTCCTATTTGAAAGATCCCCAAGAGCTTTGCCAGGCTTAATACTTCAAATACCTTATCGGACCTTATTTGGAAGGACATTACTTGAACGCTGGAGGCCCTAGCGTTCATCTTAATGTCCGTTCAAATAAAGTCCGTTCAATTAATGTCCGTCCAAGTTAAAGTCCGTTGGAATTTTTTTTTTAATTTTCCATTTCGAACTTTTTGTCCAGAATATGACAACTTTGAGAACTTTATTGTGCCGTAAGTTAACGACGGAAAGGTTCTCCGTGGTCTGCCGGAGGCACAGAAAACTCTACTAGTATTGCCAAGGACATTGTCCGACGTTGTTATAGCTCATATTACTCAGGGGCGGTAATGAAACAGTGCTAGGAAAGCTCCACGTGATGTTAAGGTTAACCTTAAGTTGTCTAAGATAAAACCACTTCACGCCGAATGGCTTGTAAAAGTTAACACTGAAATGCAGGACCGGGGTAGTTTGATAAAAAAGGTTTCCATAAAGCTAGAAATCACTGATGCTTTAAGCATGGACTATTTCATGCACGAAAACCCATTTGATGAAGATGATATGTGATATTAAAAACTGATCATATACACATATTTTAACATTTTTACTGCTCAATGACTGCTTTTTTTACTTACTGTATAAAAATGGATTTAAAAATCATTTGCTGAAATTAGAAAAACGTCAAAAAAATTGAAAAAATTCGGATTTTTGATGGTTTTGAATGCCTTCGAGCGTTCATATTAATGTCCGTTCATAATTATGTCCGTTCATGTAATGTCCGTCCAAATAAGGTCCGATAAGGTACTTCAAATACTTAGGTACTACTGCGTTCCAGACCCTTGTATAACGCTGCAGTCAGGTTTTTCAACCCAAAGTTCCCTTCCTACATCAAAGAACATGACTTAAACGAGGTATTTAAACACTACTTTACACACTCAAAAACTAGAAATTTAGAAAAATATCCTGGTACCGCTGTCCACTAGTGCAACCCGCTGAATTTTATTCCTGTTTGTCTAACTCCACATTTTCTTGTGGTTCTAAAGCTCTGTTTCAGGAGGACGTGTTTGAGTCGCGAATATTCCCCTACGAGGTGGACCACTTCTTGAGGCTAACAGACCAAGCTGGAGCAATGATCCTGGAACTAGCCCGGAACAGAGCACTTTACGGGACTGGACTTATCCTTGTGTGTTGGGAAACTGGCACTAGTCTCTGGGTGGTGGCAAGTTCTCAGGTACATACTACCGTTGGTACATACCGTACATACCGTACATACCGTACATACCGTACATACCGTACATACCGTACATACCGTACATACCGTACATACCGTACATACCGTACATACCGTACATACCGTACATACTACCGTTGGTGGACGTGGTTGATTTACCAAAATTTAAATATCATATTATTATTGGCGCCGGTCACCACAATAAATTGAGGTTATTTAGGTCTACACCGAAAATATCGTACTTGCCACTTGAGGGAAGATACAAGTCGTGTAAGGCCGAGCGTGAGCTTGAGATATGGATATCATCACAATTCTCGACATCTCTGTTTTCAAGGACTAGTGATCGAGGCACTGAGGCTAATGACTGATTCGACGTAGCAGACCAACAAGCGCCAAAATGTCGGCTATATTAAACCCTAAACACTGTAACCTGCAGTGATTAGCCTTGTTTCACTTGTCCTTCAAAACAGAGATATCAAGATCTGCGGGGCTCCCAACCATTTATCTGAGAAATAATAGGTTTCCACTAAAGATTGTACCATGCACTGAGGGAACCATCACATTTGTTCCTTACAATCATTATTTCTAAAATAGATATGACAAATCCTTTGAGCTGGTAACTTTCACAGGTTTTAGCTCACTCTTTGCTAAATTTTACCGTCATATCAAGTATCAATATCATTGTATGCCAAATGGTAACCCCATTTTAGGCATCAATTCATACCAAAATGAACTCCCATGTTAGGTATTAATCTATGCCAAATTGTGCTTCCATATTACTATCAACAGTCCTTCAATTATACCTCTATATTAGGTAACGTGGAGAAAAAGACCCACGTTGTTACAGAAATACTTTGTAAAGACCATTTACTCTCCCGACTACGAGAAACTGCACGCTAGATACGTGCCAATTAAACAAGTAAGTAGCACCTCTTTGATGGGTATTTCAAGCTGTCAAATTTCAAAACGTCATGTTTTTAACTAATTAAATTGGAGTGTTTAACTTTTAAAGGATTTTGTAATGATGTGCGTGAATCGGAGGGAGCTTTGACGTAAGTTGTGGTAATTGTTTTTAGCCGGCAATACATTTAATTGAAGAAATTCCGATGCATCCTCTTTCAAGAGCACCCCACAAAATTGTAGGGGGATTCTCAGCTGAAAAATGCCTTAAATCAGTGTTGAGCAGTTTAGTTTTATATCAAGTCTTTAAAACAGATAAATGATGTGTCTCATTTATCTGATTGATACCTGGTACATCTTCTCTTTGGTGGAACAAACTCATTACTTCTCTGATAACTTCCCAGCCTTTTACATATAAACAATAAACATGTTCTGTTCCTTGACTATATTTCGTCTAGTACGAACGTTTATCAGGCTGTTCTACGGAGCATTCTAACTCGAGTAAACTTATGAATTTCATCGGGCTCCAGGAAATGACAGACACTAATAGTCAATACAAGACCGGTTATCGAGAATAGAAAGAGCTCCCGCTCTCCTCCAGCCTCATATATGGCCGGACGATAACCAGTATTACTATCCCTAGGTAATAGAGTCGGAGTGCGGTGAAGTACTCTGTGAAGCGCTTGTTACTCTGGTTCTGCCTCCCACAGCTCAGATTGGTAACCTTATCTGCAAGTATCGGGAGAAATTTGGCGATTACAAGGGTCCGGGGAAAAGATCAAACAAAGGTATGAGTATTCGGTCCCTGTTTTCTGAACAGAAGAATGATAACGAGGAGAGTTTGGCGGATGGAAATAAAGATGAGAGTGAAAGTTCAGACCGCAGTTCAAATGTGAGGTCGGCCGGAGGTTTGAGGAGGAGTAAAAGTTTCGTGAATGAGAATGAAGATGAAGAAGAAAGTTTAGATCTTAGTTCCAGTGATGACGAAGAGATTTTCGCCAAAAAGAGTAAAGATAGAGGTGCAAGTTCCAATCGTAGTTCGAATGCGAGGCCGGCCGGGGGTTTGAAGAGGAGCAAAAGTTATGGGAGTTTTTTGGAAAATTTGTCGAACATTGTGCACGATGACCTCAGTGGACTTTGAACTTTTAAAACGTGTAATGTTTGTAGTAATTCGAGAAGCGCTGAAGGGGCTACATTTTATGTTGAAATATAGATTTCGTAACATAAGGTACAATTTAAAATAAAATAAAACGCGTTTGATTTTTTGAGAAAACCACAAAATACAGTCTATACAACAAAACTCGGACATTTATCTTTTTCTAATTTTCATCTTCCTGCACGCGGAAGATAGGGGCACGATAAAATCGTAGGATTTTATAAAGTACAACCACGTCTACCGTTACAACATGGAACACCAGATCAGTTCACAAAATACAGATAAAACCGAACTTTTGAAACCTCGCTTTCAGGACAAAACTTTACTAAGTGCTAACGGTCTCGTGAGGTAAAAATAGTTCGGCAGAGTAATTTGAAAATCGGATTTTTTTTCGTGAACTGATCTGCTTCAATCAGGGCTTCATAGGAATTTCCTAAATCATGAAAATGTTAGCAACAAACAGAAATTGCAGAAATTATTATACGGATTTAGAAATCACAGCATTCAAGGTGCAATTACCGTTTCATGACGAGTGCACTTATAAGTGCACTTCTAGTAGGGGCATGTCGATACACCCGTTTTAACAGCTTATTTAACGGTATAACACTTGCTAAAGGCAACTTAAATGTTGTGATTTGTTTTTGTACATCATTCTACAAATATATTATAGCACAAATAATACAAAACAAGAGCAAATTTATAGATTACTTCAAATTCCAATTATATAACTCTAACGGCTTTAAGTTTTCCTCGAATCTTTCTAAATATATTAAGCAAACTAAATATAAGGTTTTGAAGTTATAAAGAAAGTTAAAACACTTTAGATACACGAACTGTACAATATATTTTCCTTAACAAATAAGATTTTAGGAATACTCATCACTTAAATTTTAATCTTTAGAGTTTAGTTTACCGTATCAAAACATTCTTTTAAATAATCGCATAACATTTCTTAAGATTTCAGAGTACCTAATAAACTTATTGCCATACATTAAGATAATACAGCAAATAGCAAAGTTCATAAAAGTCTATGAGAAAATAGACAAAAATTTGAAGCGGACATTCCGCGACGGTGTTATCATTGACATTACTCATCTTCATTTCCGACCGCACTTCTAATAGCTCCAACTTTGGAGATCTGCTCTGTCGTGGCGATCCGTTTCTGAGTTGTGTTCTTCAATATTCTTGTAGCTTCTTCGAAAATAATATTGTATTTTCTTGATGTCTTCAGCTCGATAAACTGAAATGATTACGTTTATTATATACAATAATATTAGTACGTTCGCTAAAGCATGTTTGCGCGGCGCTCCTTCTGTCAAAGTGGACAAGCGCGTTATAAAGTTTGATCACAAAATATGCTATCGCGCGCCACGTAAATTTAGTGATATTGCTGTTGGTGTCTCACTAGCTATACATAGTTGTATCATTTCTATCTATATCTCCCATGCAATGCATGATTCAACAAGTGTCGATCTAAAATAATACGCATAGTTTATGATTTCCCATCAAAATAGGCCCCGATTTGCCGATTGCATAATGATAAACTTTCAGTCAATAAGTGAAGCTATTAGGGGCAGTGATTTGAAATTTATTTGAGCATCATCGAGCTTGGCGCAGTTCTGAGTTTTGAAAATAAATCGCTCTAAATTATGTAAACAATTTTCGATTCATGACTTAATTTCATTGGATACATAATATGTAGGACTTCGACCGACTTAGACGGGCCTCAAACTTGGCAACAACATGCAGTTCAACAAAGGTTATTTTTACTGACCTTCACAGGGTGGGTTGAGCAGTCTCTGGCGATAGGCATATCTTAGGAAGGCCCATTGGAGAAGTAACATCACGTGGTGATGATGTAATGATGTCACACGATGGGGTGATAACGTCAACCTCTTGGCTCAGTTGAGTGGTGGGGGATGTTGGGATTAGGGTAACTACAGGCTTCTTTACTTCAGAGTTAAAGAAAAGTGAAGTGTTTGTTGAATTCAGAATGTTCTGGATGGACAGAGCGTTGCTGGTGGTAAAGATAGGTAACTGCTGTGGGGAGTTGATGGTGGGGATTAAGGTGGTACTTTGTACAGGTGGTAAAATAGTGGAGGTTTGTGGAGGTAGAGAGGGTTGAGGTAGAATAGTCAGTGGGATGTTGTTCTGTTTAACTCTCTCCTCGTCTGCACTGTTATCTACTGACACCTCACCAGTGTCTGAAATAAAATTACTTTTAAAACTAGATCATGTACAAATACACTGACTGATACACAGACAAACAGACAGACGTCCGAGCAGACATGTGTCTGTTCACATAAATTCTTCCCTCTTTACATTCCAGACTTTGTTTCATTTAGGACAAACAGACTTACAATTCAGCAGACAATGACCCAACAGAACCACCAACTGTAATCTCCCAAACTTACTGTACTACACACACCCACACACCACTATATATACAGACGAGTTCAGACGCTGTGTGGCCGATTATAGCCCAGAACCCCCACCCTTTTAAAAAGATTGTCAGGGCTTCACTTAACGTGGGGAATCACTACATCTGTGTGATGATGTTAGGTGTTCACTACGCGCGCTTCATGTCCCCAGCACCCGGAGCGGTGAAGGAGCACGCGCTTAGTCCCTCCTACTGGCACTGCCACCAGTGAACTTGCGTCCGGTCCACGCACCCGCACCCTCTCGTGCCGCGTCGCAGGGTGCCGGGTACGGTTCATAATGTGATAGACCACAAGTGCACTACTGGCACTTAGGGGATCGAGGTAATACGGATGTTGAGGGGAGATAGTATCTTATATCTCTTATCTGGATACTACCGAGTGTAGTGTAAGTTTGTACGTGTGCGCGTGTTTGTGTGTTGTGTGTAAGTTCATGAGTATCACAAGCATGCCCGTTAGTGAGCTGATGTGAGGGAGTCCAGCTATATATTGATACATTAAAATAGCTGGAAAGAGATAATGTGATAATGCTGGAGAAGCCGGTCAAACTACCCAGCATTGGAACCCGTGTCCTGCAGTCCCACCTCTCGTACAAGTGCATCACGTCGCTACTGGTTACCAGGACATCACGTGACCACTATCCCGCTACCTATCGTCTATTGGCTATCGGTTAGTTAGGAGCCTGGCCCGGCCAGCAGAAGCATTACAAGTACTCCCAGCGCGATCAGTTACCAGACCTATTAAACGGCCCTGTCAAATCTCATTAACGGTTACACAGTGTAACGATGTGGAGATGTAGTAAACCAGTGTGTGCGCGAGAGAGAGTGAGCGGTGGAAGTGTTGGGTGCTACTCCCGCTAACCACAAACCCTGCTCAATGTCACGTGATTGGCAGTCACGTGATCCCCCCGCAAAGTCGACTCAGCAATACAGTAAAGGGGTGCGTCTAATGAGTTGGCTTGTTACCATGGCACTCTGAGCTTACCCTGACAACACGTCGTACTTACCACTGACAACGAGGACCCTTTGACACAGTGTCAGTGTCTCAACAATTTCTCGGACTCATTTATCGGACACAGGCCTTCAGCTAGGCTGATAAATTGAAAACATTCTGATTTAACGCTCACGCACTGATTTATTGGACATATTTATTCGAAAATAATGGAAACGATCAGGATTAATGGCCAATGGACATCGTCTGTGTGGGTGGGCATATTATGATTTAACAGACACGGCTTAATTCAAGACCGGGCCCATTCTATTTTAATCGAAGTAAAAGTGATCAAAACACAAAATCAAGTCTTTAAGACGCAGACAATCATTTAGCAACTCCTACGAAAACCAATCGACAAAAGTGAACCATTTAACGTTGTTTCCTACGAAATGCTTATGAGAAATGTATTTTAGAAATGCATTTAATCCTTATTAAAAACACTACACACAATACTGCACTGTACATAAAATTGGAGAAATAAATCAATTTCACATCAATTAATTAATTAATTACCTGAAATAGGGTCTTCCATGTCAATGTCTCCCTGAGAATCTCCGTCTTCTATACTGTCACAGTTGCTCATCATGTCTTCAGCTATTGCACTGTCTATCAGCGAGGCAGGGGACAACGGAAACTTATCTGAAGAAGATAGTATCTGTTAGAATCGGAATAATCTCTACTGTAATAGTGTGGAAATCTGTGGAAAATTACGACATTTTGTAAGGAGAAATTTGGAAATTACGGGCATCACCATACGAACAATTTATCGGATTGGAAAAGGCAAAATAGTTTAAAAGTTTTACAAAACTTTGTACGGTTTTGGCAATTTCCATATTAATTCCATTCACATTATTTCCGATTAAATTGCATTTTAAGTAGTGATGACAACGGGAGTTTTAAAACATCCTTATCACCACACAATTGTCACATAGGACTAGCAACTCCCAGATTTCTCAACAGAGTTGAACCGACCCCTGCTCGACTGCTTTGGAGTCAAGTGACATAACCACTACACTACCCCCTCCCTTCACCCCTACCCTCAGATACCACTAAAATATTATTTAAACGTACTCATAGCACCAAGTTGGAGTATCAGCTGTAGCGTCTCTTCAGGGATAGTGCCAGGTTGCTGGCCATCAACCCCACCTCCAGCACCATGATGCTGGGTGTAGTTAGCTGCCTCCATCTCGTGGATTTTAACGTGTCGTTTGAGGTGGTGGCTTCTACCAAACCTCTTGTGGCAAACCTCACACTCGTACTTCCTCTCCCCCGTATGCACGATCATGTGTCGTTTCTGAGAAAAGGAGGGTCGTAACTTACGAGACTATTGTAAATTTTGAATTGTCATGGGACTTTCAAATTATCTTATAAGTGACAGAAATTATTTTTTTCTCCTTGCTTTTGAAAGAAGTCGTAGAGAACTACTACATCATAGTTACATACAATTAGATCTGTCAATGACAATTATTGATTGCAGTAAATTAGAATGAAGCCAATAATTAGGTTCTTACCAAGGAGCTCTGATTCTGGAATCGCTTCTTGCAGACGGTACAGGGGTGCTTGTAGTTGCTTCTGTCAGGACACACTTGTCGCATGTGTGTCTGCAGTACGTACTCGTACGCGAAGACGCGTGCGCACCGTGGACACTCATACCGCGCTTGGTCCCCAGAGGAGGATGCGCTCGTCCCAACTGCGGCTGCAGAGTTGTTCAGCAGCTCTTCCACTATGTTGCCTGGAAAAACTGAGAGTGATTTGTGGTGAAATTCAGTTCGGTGAGAATTAATTATGTCAAAAAGTCATCGTTACAAATTACAATTATATCCAAATATTGAGGCTGAGTTTTAGTAAAATTTTAAGTTGAATTATGTGACAACATATTATTGTCTACGTTAAAATGTTCAAGTATACCGCGACGTTTTATTATTTCAGTTCGGCTACTACATCATTTGAATAATTACCACACAGCATTGCAACATAAGGTAACTCATTCAGGAATTTCGGTACTGCCAATATTTGTACATATATTTCAGGGAGGAGTATTAAGTTTTTATTATCCGCCACCTTAATTCTAAGTAGTGGGTCCCCACTCAATGTTCAGTGTTCACCAGTTCTCTACATAAACTCACAAAAGATGCAACTTCTCAGAACTGTGATTGGTTACACCTCGTCACGTGAGCGCTTTCAGGTATCTGATTGGTTGCTACGAGACGGCGCCACAGCTTGTACCATACGGTCAAGTGATTACTTATTAAGAGGCCGGGATATTTTAACACTGTATTTTGAAAACATTACCCCACGTGCTCCGATACTCAGGAACGATCCCCACGTGACCATCTCACCATCTCTAGGGGGACCGGGGCTTCTCTTCACCCGCCCATCTTATCTCCCCAGATATTATCGTGCACAAAGCCAGGAAAAAACAAAGTCCCCTCGGTGCTGCCTTTAGCCAAGGAGAGGGGATGTGAGCTGTAATTTTGTAACCCATAATAGTGTTAACACGTATTTATCGGACGGGGGATACGTCTCTCCCTTCTTGATAACATGTGTCAAGTGTTGGAGTGTGATCTAGGAGGGCACTCAGGACCACAGGGAGGTGTTATGTGTAGTTGTTATGGGTAACTGGTCACGTGTCACTGAGTTACTAAGTTACTCGATAGTAACTATTTAGTTAGTTATTCCACCCTGGTAACTCTGGTCATTTGTAGTTAGGTTGTAAGGTTTTTATTTTGCCAGGGAAGAGTGGTTACAGGTTCCTAGGTTACCAAGTTACCAGGGTGAAGTTTTTACATGTGTCCGTCAATAAAACAGGATTCTTATAGGAAGCATCGTGCAAGACATTAGAAGCACCATTTTATAAGTCTACATTTTTCAATAGCCATTCTTGTTGCGGTATTCTACGATTAAACCAAGATACATACCAGGGTATTCCTAAGTAACCAGGAGGAGTTACGTGTTACTAAGTAACCAGAGCGAGGTTGTAACTGTTCCCAGGTTCCTTAGCTACAAGGTAAGAGGGAGGTGCGAGACTGTACCCCCAAATCACGTCTACTGCACAGCACATCTAAAACACTGTAGCTCAGCACCTCAATATCAACACCTATCAACCCCCCCTCTCTCTCTCTCTCTCTCTCTCTCTCTCTCTCTCCAACGTAAGCACAGTAAGCATCACGTGATACCAGTGTATTTTTGTGGTAATATCTCGGAGCTGGGAGACACACACACACAAATATACTAAACGTGTTTGTGTTTTTATCAGGGGTGTTTATCTAGAGAGACGTTGTATTGTCCGTACCGCACAGTTCCCATGGTAATGCCACCACAAAGACACGTGGTGGTACTTGGTACGACTATACACATGTGTATTAATATGTGAACTATGAGATCACCCCTGTGTGAGATATTTACGAGGTATGGGAGTTACTCCCCGCTCAGATACGAAGTATCTCTGCACGTCTATTTAAGGGCTGTTTTGTAACAAGTGTCTCGAATTTTCTTCATTCCTCTGGAAGAAAGGTATGGGGTCAGGGGGTCAGGTGTTCAGATGAAAAAGAAGCGCTGAATAATAAATTAGATGCCATATCAGACCTTAAGCTTTCCAATATTTCTTCAGTATTGCTTCTTTTTGAAAATATTGCACGATTTTTGTGAAGATATTTCACAACAAGATAACTGCAGATGTTTTTGGGGTGTAAGGAAAGTCGGAAAGTGTTTTCATAACCATATTTCCATGATATGCTGATAAGGAATGTGTAACCATAGCAACAGTCGGCTGTAGTGACTCAGGGTGGTTGCAAGTGTAACCCCAGCGCTGAGAAACAATGTAGCTATATTTGTTCTGATCACGTGACCCCAGTAACCCTGTCCGCTCTTCTACTCTATAAATCACCAAACCACGTGACACAACACACTAGGATATTGAAAACTCCACCCACCCCCGTCACTGGTAACTTAAAACAATGCGCCATTGTCATGGCAACCGCGCATCTTGTTATGACAAGGTCACGTGACAGGTGCATTGTATTGAGCCGGGTGAGACTGAGACTCCCTGGACACGCGGCTGGGCTGTGACGCCTGGGTCGATAGATCTCAGGTAGTCAGGTCTACACGAATCTCTTTAAATCTAATTAGAGAAAACAATCCACCCTGTTGACCGTTCTATTGTTGCCGTTAATTCGGAGTGTACTTGTCCTAGGGTAATGCTGGAGCACGTGGGTATCGCAGGAGTGTCGTACCCCAGAGCCCGGCATTGTGCACTTCAGCTGGGGTAGCTTTGTGTTCCAATTAGTGTGGCAGTGAGAGGTGTGGAGTGAGGTGGCAAGTAGTGCGGAGTACCAAAGCCCGCACGTACACGCGCCTCAGCGCAGTTAACCGCGCATACCGCCCTTATCCTACACTCATTTAGTTATATGGTCAGCTGGTTAATGATTACCTCAAATCAGACTAAGAATCATACTTCTGTCTATACTTTTTTTCTGCGGAAAAGAGGATATTCGCCTGTTGAGTGAGCATAGTCTGGAATATATCATTTTGACCATAAAATTACCATTTCAACCTGGCGAACCTATAACGTGTAAATATCGTACATTATTCGGTCATTGGAAATTTGATTAGATAAGGAACTTACATTACTATGATTCTTTATTTTGAAAACACATCAATTGCCAATGAGGCTAAGTGCAATCTACTTTAAAATTATGTTAGTTTACAAAGGGTTTACAAAGCAGTAGAATTCGCACGCAATTTGCTTGCATGGGATTGCGTCCTAGAGTCTATGATGTAGTAGATAATATCATCTAGTGTATATTACATTATGCTTATACAACCATTTTATTAGCAATAAGCCATTTTAACCGTTTTTTAACGTATTAAGCTAAAACATTTAAAAAGTGCCGTACGTGACGTCGACTAAGTGCAGTTTTGGACTTTACAAAAAGGACCCACCCACCCCCTTCACGGTACTAACTGCTGTTTCGGATAATATTAATATTTAGGACACCCACCCCCTTTTGCCGGCTTTTGTGGTACTAACTGTTGAGAAATCACGGTACTAACTGAGTAACTGAGTCTGGGTATATAAAATAAGATACCCGCCCATAAATTGCTTTAAACAGCTCATTAAACATTGGAAATGGGCAAATTATACCCACTATTTAGTAGGGGTTTTGTTTTCAATGTACGGTAGTCGAATTAGATAAAAAGTTACAAACAAATTTCAAAAATTTCAAAAAACCCAAAAAAACTCAAAAAAAACCTCAAAACCCATTCCCAAAATTGAAATTTGAGGTAAAATGGGTTTTTTGGGGGTTGGACACCCAAAAAATGAACCCCTTAGTACCATGTACTAACTGTTTTTCTGGGAAATGAACAGCAGACCCACCATTTAGTACAAGAGTACTAACTGCGTTTTGGAAGAAAATATGACCCACCCACCCAACGTCACGTACGATTCTGACCATATGATCCCCCAACCCCCCCCCCCCCCCCCCCCCCCCCCCCCGGTTGGACCAGTATGGCCCACGTAGGATGACTTGCCAATTTGTTATTATACCATAGAAATGAATAGTAAAATGAACGTTTTTGAAATATTTTAAAATTAAACGGGACTTCTCAGGACTTCTGTGTTTCAATTGTTCAAAGTCAGTATTCGCTCTAGATGTCATTGAATACCGAATCCACTGCATTTTATTTCTGTAAATCCATTCGACCTGTGCAATTGACTGCGTACTAATAACATCGGTACTAATTTTCGGGACAATGTAGGTTTATCTGCATTCCTTGTATTTGAAGAAGTCCACAGTTTATGACTGTAGTACTCCAAATCAGTTGAGTAACTGCAGTGTCTTCCCTGTCACCTGACTTACAGACACTAAGTTGCCAAGACAACTCTCTCCCACTCGGCCCATCTCACAGCGGAGATGCCAGTCCTTGGTATAAGGCGAGCATTATATGGGCACGTGTTGCAATGGTTACGGGCCACGTGACCCAAATCTCCCTCATAATGGTTCCGGAAATGAGAGAAATCCATGGTTAAACAGCACAGCTCCATTACTGGACAGTAACCATGACTACAGCGCGGTGATTGGCCCAATCTGGTCACGTGCCTGTAACCATGACAACACGTGAGGGGGGTGGTCGCGTGGGATTGGGGGAGGTGGTTGCTCACTAATGTTAATTAATGCAATACACGCACCATTAGCGACCGGGAATTATAAACGTAGATCTGGGTGCTCATTACACACCGGATCCCAGAGAGAGAGAGAGACAAGACACAACTCGTACCAAACACACTGACCACGTGCCCACTGATCCCGGTCGTCGTGGTAATCCAGGGACACCACGTGACACAATAATCATCCACACATGATGACCGAGATCTCGGGGACACGGCTACCAGGAAATGGGGGACTATTGGATGACAACAAAGATAACCACCAACAATAATGACACATGGGCACCATGGCAACGACAGCAAGAAATGGTCTAGGGGACGAATCGGAGGATTGGAGACTCTACCAGGATTACAAACAGTCGGGATGTACTTTAAGAAGGGGTTGTAACTGGTTTAAACTGCAGTAAGTATCTTAATATACAGAGAGTCAGGGAGTACGTTAGAGAGAGAGAGTATGGTAAATAGTGTGGTACACAACCACGGAGACATGTCCCGACCGACTCAGGCCGGATTACAGTCTCCATACTGTGACAGGCAGCATTGTAGAGAAATGAAATCCTAAAAAGGGTCAATCTTGGATCCTACAATATATCATAATGTTGCCAACACACGCTGTCACGTGAGGTAATGGAAATTCAAGGCAGGGGCGGGGTAAGTAGTGGGCGGGAAGTGGGGTAGAAGGAGGTAGAGCGGATAAATATTGGGTAGAGAGGAGTGGAGAGGAGGTGGTTAGCAGGAGTGAAAATGGAACTAAACTCACCAGTTTGGGAGAGGGCAGTTGAGGAAGTGGTGGAGGAATGTTGGAGGGAGGAGGGGAGGTCCCCATCTTTACTTCCGACTCTGAGTTAGAGGAAGAGAGACGAGACAGGACCGAATTGAAGTCTATCTTGGGCTTGTTATGGTCTGGAACACTGAAATGATGGATTATTCAGTCATTGTATTTGCAATTAGTCGCCAATTTTTGCTGTGTCATTTTTGCTGTGTCATTTTTGCTGTAATATTTTCTTGTATTATTGTATCACTGCCTTTCATGACGTCAATATGATAACATCAACATTCAACTATCTAGAAGATTCTTTTTAATGACAAACCTGTTCACGAGGTTGTTGACCAGGTTGGGCTGCTGGATCAGTTTGTTGACAAAAGAGCAGTCAAGATCCTTGAAACGCCTCTGTTTTAGCTGTCTTTGCACAATCAATTCCTGCAGCAAATTCAAACTTTTAGAAGTTTTCTCCAAACTTATTCTCAATTTAAGCTCTCATCACTTGCAACACTATTAGTTGTAAACTGAACAAATTCAACTTAGTGATACGATACAACGTAACTAAAAACGATTAACGTAAGACAACTTTGCAATTATGTAATACTTGTCTCCATCCTGCTTCCTACAAAGTTACCCCCCTATTCGCAACGCCTCCCCACTAATCTACACAACCCTGCCTCCTCACTGGAGTAGAAAACTTTACAAACCTGGATAGCAGAGTCGGTCTGTAGGAAGCTGATAGGGAGGTTGTTAGTTCCACTCCCGGAGGTTATGGAGGTGGTGGTGGTAGCTGGTAATCCGGACCGGTCCTCTGTTAGCTTTATTATATCCTCCATCGCGTTTATATTGTGCGAGTTTTCTATCTTTACCTCCTGATTGCAGGGCGGAGTTTAGTCACCTTTTTTCAAGCTCGAACACTTTTACAAGTTTAACATTAAGCTTATTTAGTGGTTTAATATAATGGTGCATGTCTGGCTTTAACGGCTTTTTATCTCAACGCAACACGATAAGATAATTTAATTTAATGTGGGATTTAATATTCCTTATAAATAGATAAATGGTCTCCCAATGTCTCCCCAATAAGCTCCCTGTATTAAACAACCAATAAACGTCTCTCTGTTTTGACGTATACCTACTTTAGAAGTTATAACCGCCCAGTGCCCGAGGTTGGACTCCCTGGGTTGCTAAATGGCACAGTTTAATCTTTACCTGATCCCCGTTGTAGGAAAAGTTGTGGCCTTGGTCTTGAGAGGCACCGGTGAAGGGCAGTAGAGTTGAACGGCACTGAATTTAGTTTGGGTATTTTAAAAACGGAAAAATATAAAATTCTGGCTAATAGGTAAAATAAATACCGCCGCTCGCGCTCTAGAGCCGCGCCGGTTATATAATATCCATTAACTATTTAGTCGAATCGGATAAAAAGGGACCTTTAAGTATATAAATAAGGAACGACTACGAGACAACCATAATTATAAAATTGGGTATAATTTATAAAAGAAATATTTGAGAAATGAAAAAGTAGCATAATTTAAAACTAACCCGAGGAGTCTTAATATCAGGAGTTGAGAGTGGGTAGGGTCTGATGGGCTCTTTGTTGAAACTGCCCTGCTCCTTTGAAAATCCACCAGCAGGAGGAGGACTCATGTAATAAGGCTTCTTCTGTAAAGCCTGGCTCTGTAAGTAGGCTTGTCGTGTAGCCTCCGTCATGTTAGAGAACACCTTCAGCATTTGAAGGTGGTGGAGGGATTTAAGGGCTGCTGCTGACATGTCTTCTCCTCCTTTATTTAGTAGATTCTTATTTTCCAGTTCGTCTTCCTTTACCGCTCCTCCCTGGAGTTAATTACTAGGATTTATAATATCTAGATAATCACTTGCTCAACAGGGCCAGTAACCAATAATTGAATGGTGGATGATCTAAATTCTAAGCTAACCACCCCGTGCCGTTAACTCAGGCTAAGTAATCAGGGCCTGGTAAGGATATTAGTTTAAGTTATTAGTTAAGGCGTACTAGTTCCTTATTGGGTTGCATGAATCGGGCCAATTTGAATTATATAGAATATTTAAGTTTAGATTTTAGGAATAATATCAGTTTAATAGACATAAGCACACAAACAAACCTGATTCTGTATTATCTGTGATAGTGCTGGATGAAAAGCACTTTGTTGGGCGCCCATTTCACCGGTAAGATTCTGGTTATTTTCTTGCGGTCGGTTATTATTATCTAATGTTCTGGAAATTTCCTTCCTGAGTTCGAGGCTGTTCTCTGGCACTCTCTCTCCTTCCCCTAAAGTTGCATTAAAATTAGAAATTCAGCAGATAAACGTTCAGATAATACTGTATAAGGTCTCAAAATCTGAAGGTCTCAATATATAAATATTTATTATATATATATTATATATACTTATTACTTATCTATAGCTAATCCCCACACGTACAGACAAAGAGTCACGTACATCGTGAAACCTGAACGCAGCTATGAACAACACCATATTATACTGCCTGACCTGATTAAGCTTTAGTTGTATGACAGGATAATACTTATAGATATAAACTTGGGCTTGTTTCTATTTTATTACCCTATTTATACAGCTTAACCTTACGTAGCAATTTTATCTCTTAAAAAACAACAAAAACGGCTAACCCCATTTGTTTTCATTGATACAAACACTTAGCGCGTAGATTAAACGATAAGCTTATCACTGGGTCTATCAGTCTACATCAGGACGATAAACTTTTAAGTGCTTAAAAAGAGCTCGCGCCCAACTCAGGGACTTAAAGGACCGACATTGTATGGACAAAGTGAATGCAGTAAAGGAGCTCCAGCAAGCAGTGACGGTCAACGTTTTTCTAAGAGGTAGCGTCTAGCTAATAACTATTTCAAATAAAAGAACCATTTCTCACAAAGAAAGTGGACGGGACTCTTTTCGACCTCTTAACCCTAAAGTAATCACGTGACCACTGCCATCATTTTGTAGATTATACCGAAAAACTTGAATACCAAAACTCGAGCTCCTGTACATGCGGTGACAGTACGGTAGGTTGTCTAGAAACAATCACAGGAATAGTGACCAACCGGAGCTTGAATAGCTGGTCACGTGGCCACGACCCCGTGGGGCGGCGACTTATCAAGCAATATGTGTATGCTGTGTGAGGTACGGTAAGGATAACACATATTATTACACTTGAGCAATCTTATCATTAAGAGCCGGACCGTACAGCTGTTAGGCTGTGTGCTGTACGCTAACAAGTGGACTACATTTGTACGGGATGATCTGTAAAATAAACCGTCGTCTTAGGGACAAATCTTAGCAAATAACGCGTAAACAACCGGTCGGATGATATTGTCACCGGCAACCGGAAAAGTCAGAGGCAAAGTCACGGGAAATAGAATAATAGGTCACCGTCTAAATGTAAAACTGTAAAGGTGGCACTGATTACAGGAGCAGTCAGCGAGCAGCGAAAGAAACGGTGTTACACTGTAACGGAGGGACAAAGAACACTGAACGAGCAAATTACGCTCAGTCAGTAGTCCAGTTCCAACTACCCTGCCTACCACACTCAGGCAGAAAATTAAAAATGGGGCAACCCACAGAGCTGGGGACTCCCTCTCAATCACCCTCCCAGTCACCAATCAGGGAGCTTGATTTCCCTCACGTGACACGAAGGTGACCAATGGAAAGAGCTAGAAGTAGACACGTGTGGAACTGAGATCGCGATGACAACACACGAGTTGGTGAAACCAAACAAAGTTAAATCTCGTTAAACTGGCAATAGTCTATACTAGGTGTGTCACCAAACCCCCACATCCTGATCTATCACTCCATTATACACCACAACACTTTTAAATATATACCCTGAGATATATACAATGATTTTGGTGGTGGACTGGAGCAAAATTTTGTAACATGTTGGTGCTTGTGCTGTTTTTGAAGTTGAATAAGTTTTAAGCCTTTTTAAGGAGATTTTACCGAAAAATGGAGATATTATCAAGTAGCTCCCGGAAAATGGGTCCGCTATAACTAAGGGTAAATTCTGTTCCTTTAAAGGGCAAAACTGCAACTGGTGATAGCACGAAGTCAAGATACGGCCTCGTTACCGACATCATAAGGCCTCTGAACGTGTCCAATATACCTAATCGCCTAGTTTCCAGGATATTGTACCATGAGAAGGAAGGGAAGCACTTAGAAGTAAGCATTAGAATTGCATTTCATAAATCTCACTGTCTTACAAGATCTCAACTATAATGTCATGCTGAATATTGACATTATAATATCTGCCTGTGTAACTGGGTCTGTACGATATTCACAGTCAGGTATAGATATATCTGTGAGATAAGCTGCCCTGTGGAGCAGAGGTCATGTGACCCCGATCACCATGACAACGATGGTGATACTCTGATGAATTGCATGCCGGGAGATAAGTTCTCATCACTAGTGGTCACTGTGAGGGGGGTAACTTATCTTCTACACCTTCGTATACTAGCGCCGTTACTATCTACAGTAACCTCACAAAGTGTGCACCCCGGTGTGGGGAGGCCGTGTTACACCATACAAATACAGCCAGTTAAAATACCGTCCAGTTTCAAGGCCTAGCTGCAGTGAGACTAAGGGGAGATTGGGTTTGTAATCAACAGAATCCACAATTCCCTGAAGTGGACTCACTGTAACAAGCTCCTATTTCCTAGCTACTTCTAAGGTCAATGTAGTAATATTGTTCGGATATGCATCATGCATACGTGCTTAAGATATCCAGCAGTGATAAGCAGAATAAGAAATTTCATTTCTTGACTAGTTATGTCTTAAAGGACTGGACTGAAGTAGGATAAAGTTCCAGAGACTGACGAGAGATAGAATACTGTATTACAAGATCAGCTGTGCTTTTTACAAAACGAAATAAAGGTGGGCATTAGAAAGATGGTAAAGTTTCACCATTTTGGCGATGGTGCAATATTAATACCCTTAATCGGCAAAGAAATAGATTTAAGTGAATGGGTCTGAAACGAGGTGCGTAAATCGACTCTGGGATTCATAAAGATTTTTGGGGTAGTCGGTGCATGGTGATGGCTTCCATAACGCATTAAATTGAACTGGTGAGTGCTTTATAAATCCCCCTGTGGTAAAACAGTCCAGCTAGTCCGGTTATTCGAGATAATGTTAACTAAGGTTGTGATTGGTGCGATGTGACGCTAAACCGTCAAGCTGGGAATATAAGATAAAATAAACTCTGATACAAAGGGAAGCAGGAATTAGGTAAAGGTAAAGGTAAATGATAAGGTGCACTGTGCCGCAGGCATGAAATGGAAATCTTAAATACGATTTTCAGCTAGTTAATGGGATTTTAAGAGCAATAAGTTTAACCTATGCCCGCTAAAAAGTTAAATCTGCCAGTGAATAAGTACTTAAGCGTGCGAGAGCCTGGATGGTTAAATATAGATGAGACCAATGTTTTAGAGTGAACGGATTCAAGTCAAAAATGGACCGCTGTGATTGGTTGACTACAGTATAAAGGGATAACTCATCTCGCGTTTAACAGCTGTACAGCTCTGAGAAATTGTTTTAAATCGGACTCCTCTCAAAAAATGGTTGTGAAAAGTAGGTGCGATAACTCGTCTTGACAAAGTGCAGCAGGTCTAACTAAGATCTCAATTTGTTGAAAGGCTGGGAGGGATGACGGAGGGATCTGAATTAGTGGGCTAGAAAAAAAGTGTTTAAGAGAAGATGCTGTGGTCGAGGTCAGCGGTCATTTTATCACATCTATAGTAATTGGGAATGGTTCTGTTCTCTCACGGCTGGCAAGAGCTGAAATATGTAGTTCATACCGTGCTGACTTATCAAATATGATAGCTGCGGTATAGCTGGGACGGCGGGGGTTTAAGTTAGGGTGGGTATGATTTCGCGGCTGAAAAATGGTTAAGGTGGTTTAGTTGATGGTTTAACTTATAAGGTGGTTAAGTCTTTTAAATTGGAGCGGGGTCAACCCGGACACCCAGAAATGCCGCAGTAAGGAAATTTCAATATAATCAGAGAGTGTTCTAACCAGCGGTTTAAATATTGCGCTCCTTTCTGGAGATTTTGTCCTTCGTGAATAAATTTTTCTTGGAATGGATGATTCGGGACTGCACCAAAATATAGGGTTAAATTGGGTGTGGTAGAGCTTTTACATGTTGAGCGTTTCAGAAAGGCTGGTTATGTTAAATAATGATATCTGCTGCGAAACAACCAACATAATATGGTAACCTATTTGTAGAATGTAGGCCTCATCTAAAAACCAAACAATATGTACGGTATAAACCTGCCAGTCATGGTTGTATCAAGAGCTCAACATTGAAAGTTAACTGTACCGGATATCGGTTAAATTGCTCTCTCATCATAAATACCATGTCTATAAAAGAAAAGGTTACCGCAAATAACGACTATTAACCGTCACAGAGGTTAAACAATCGGAAAGCTCACCAAAGAGAACCAGATGAGAGCACAGTATCTAACTTAAAGGGAGTGAGAGGTCAGAGAGTAGACAGCTCCGATCCCTACCAGGAAGTGGATCGGTAGTGGGCACGGTGACGTAGTCTCGCCATTACACTCTGTCTAACAATCCTGCGCCAAGTGGTGCCCTGTGCGCCCGTTCCCCTGGGTAAGTGGATAACGGCTTCCCCTTCACCGGCCCTGCCACTGTTACGCTTGAATCTCGTGCACGTGCTGCGTTTGTAGTACACTTGGTGATAACTTTGCGGAGGAGTCAGTATAAACGAACTGCTATTTTCGCAGAAAACAACTTGATATAGATATCTTGCGGAGGGAAATTGAATTAATATAAAGCGAGATCTCTCTAAATGAAATACAAGATCACCAAAAGCTTCACTGTGATGAAGACAAAGTTCGTAAGAATAAGTGATACAGCCATTGCACCAAGAGAGAGTGTTTCGGTAATTTAAAGTTGGTCGTATAACCGTTAATAGTTCTGATCGATTTAAAGAGATGTCAAATCTTGGCGAGAGAGGGTTGCTCATGAGATACCGTTGACAGACGCACTTTCTAGCAAAACCTACGGAGGAACAACTGAACCGGAGTGGAATCTGAGCTGAGGCAATATAAACAGCTCTAATTGAATATGGGGTAGATATCTTTGGCACTGGAGTCCCCTCACTAACCACCTAAACTGTTGTCTAGAACTAAAAATAAATTCGCACCAACTCTCACCATAATTAGGGAGAAATATGAATAACATATTTATAAAACCCGCTCTACCCTATTTAATACTTCTATGACTCGTGTATGATAAGTTAAAGAGCTCCTGTAGTAGCCAAGTTTAGCCAATGAAATAGGAAGAGAGGATCCTGGATGCTACAACCTACCATTATAAGGATTAATGAGACTCACTTTCGCCAAGGTTCATGTCATCAGGGCAGCTGCCGTTCATTTGGAGTGTCATGAGTGTCAGGAATCGGCTGAAAACCACTGATTTATCAGTAGATTTATCACTCTGGGTCACAAGTTTTGCGGGTTGAGAGAATTAGGGGCCGGAAAATCCAGGGCGGAACTACAGAACAACAACCCGAACCTGATGAAGAGTGGGCATACTTAGAGCACATCGCCCAATGGGGGGAAGCAGGGACTGTTTCAGCCAATCACAGGCAAGTACTAAGTCACGTTGGGTAGATGCTCAAGATTGGAGTACAAGCGAGTATTTGAAGTAATTAGCAGAGTGTATTAAGGCCTGTAAACCTGGCAGGGTAAAATCAGAACGGGGCACTACAAGCATACACAAGCCAGCACGAGGAGTACAAGCAAACATCTCCACATACCTGTTATACGCATCTACAATCAAATAATTCTTAAAACGCTACACCCACAGAAACAAACGTCGGAAACAAATTTCCACTGCAATTTACGACACATTTAACGACCTGCCGACTACAGCCTTACAACGAGAGGCCGGGTAAGATACAGGCCTGCCGGCGGTATTTCAGGTCGAGAGGAGGCACTCGACAAGGTTTCGTAACAAGAGCCACACACACTGACACGCTCACAACTCACCGAGCAGCGCGGCCAACCTCTCAAAGACAAATGACAGGGTAATCCAGCAAACTATCCGATCAAGCAACTATCCGGCCCGCTTCCTGATCTCATTCTCTCACCAAAACAAGCGCAGACGTGACAACAGCAGGGAGTGTACGTTAAACGTCATGGTAACTTTGCAGCGGCGAAACAGATAACTTTGCAGTGGCGAAACAGATAACTTTGCAGTGGCGAAACAGATAACTTTGCAGCGGAGAAAACGGAACTGGTAACGTTAAGCCGTAAGATAACTTTGGAACAGGCGACATACGATTAACGTTGAAAGATAACTTGGTGGTTGTTGGATGGAACAGCAGTTAATCGCTGGGTGTCATATTAATTTCTCAGTGATAAAACGAAAAAAAGGAAAGAGGACTGAACATAGTCGATTATTGTTTTGCAAAAATACAAGGTTGTAAGAAACGTTAAAAGCTAACCAAGACGAAATGAAATGGGATTCAAGTAAAATGGGAATGCGAATGGATTCATAAAAAATTACGGATTCATCATTTTAGTAACATTGTGACACTGAAGCACAAAATAAAATCCCAGTGCCACAACCGCGAATAGTTAAAAAAGCAAAGGCTTTTTTACAACTCTACACTTTAACAACTTATGCAATTAAGTAAAACGAACGAAGACACAACTTACTACTCAAACTGTAAATGTCATAATAATAACTTTGCGGAGGAGGTGGCACGAGCGGACGACATGTGTGCCATACAACTAACTAACAGCCCAACACAATCGAGAGTGAAACGACAAAACTGCACAGCTCGACACTTACATATAGGGAGTTCAGAACTCAGAGAGTTGCGAAAGTAAGGTATCAGCTGGGGTAAGTGCGAGACGGAAACGAAGCGACGTGAGGTACAGCGTGCGTGAAGACGGGAGCACGAGATATTAGATCACAACACGAGGGGTTATGGCAAATAAATAACTTTGCGGAGTGTGGGCCAGCAATGGGGACTGAATACGAGAAGAAGGGGGAAGTGCGAAAGTGAGGAGGGGAGAGAGAGGAGCAGTTCAATACGCAGCGGTTAATGCAGTCGGGTAATTACCATTAAACTAGTGTGGTGCGGCCAGCCCGTCATTGGACCCGGGCTGTTATGTCACGTGACAGTGTCCTGACAGGTCACGTGATCGATATTATCAGAGTGCTGGGCGTGTGTAGCCCGACATTCATCACCATGACAACAACAGCCCAGCTTGTGACACGCTCACTCATTGGTTCGATTGCATTTGACTGGTCTCCAACTGAAAATGAGAGAGAGAGGGAGGGAGATGAGAGAAGAAGACTGAGAGAGCGGGTGAGAGAGAGAGAGAGAGAGAGAGAGAGAGAGAGAGAGAGGAGGGAAGTTTTTACAGTGCTCCTCCGATAAGTGACAGATTGCTAATATTAAGTGTGATCTGCGAGTGTCATGGAGTGATGAGAGTTCAGATAACACTGCGACCCAGACATAGACTTGCTCTTCAATTACCACAATCAACAATCGGATAACAGAGCTGCTATAGAGCAGAGGGTAGTCAGTAGGTCCACCTATATAAATCATCAGACAAACTGACAAGATCAGTGCGATCCTCATCAGTCATCATCATCATCTTCTTATACCTTGGTAATTAAGTGCGTAGCTAAATATTGACAGAGGGTAGAAAACTATGAGGCGTCAGTTAGAGAAAGCAGAGTGTAATGATTGAACCGATGGTTAGAGGTCAGGTTGTAGACCTATCAGCGAGCCTGGCAGCTCTGAACAGCAGCCTGGAGGTCGCCCTTAAGATTGGTATTAATCCTCAAGCTATGTTTTGTGGTAGGGTGAAAATGGGTCGACCTTTTAACAGAGACTCGTAAATAAGACCACTCTAGATGAAATCTGTCTAATCTCCATATCTCGTGGCTTTCGAGAATACCCCTTGTATATAAATATTTTAAGGGAAGACAATAGACATGATAAGAAAATAAGCTTAATAAATGAAAGTTCATGAGGGGCAATTAAAGGTGCAAATGATTTTATCTAAGACAGTCTGCTATGTGCGATTGTTGCAGACTGATACCTGTTGGATGACCAGTTGTTTCAAAGTTGACTATGACGACTGATTGTGCTCCCAAGTTTGCTCCACTTATCGTATACTCGGCAATTCATGGGTTAGCCACAGAGCCCACAGCTTGTCACTTACCATTTCTTTAGAAGCTAAGCTAAAAGGGCAGCATAAAAGGGCAGCGAAGGTGTCCTCAAACAGCTAAACAGATGATTTTTTGTATTTGATCTTTTTTTTCAAATCATTTAAAGCCACTCTAAATGTTTAACCTAAATATTTTATAAGTCAATTAATTTTCAGCTGTCTCCCATATATTTTAGTATATTGCATTTGGACATGAAGGGAATCACATAATGTTAGGCCTATATTATGATAATATTTTAGTAATCTGTCTCCCTTGAAATATTTTTGTAATTTTCGAGACACTTCAAATCCATTCTACCAACGTTGAAATCTATTTTTACCAGTTTTTTACTGCTTTTTTATTTCAATAAGTTTCTGTTACTACGAAGAGAAACATACAATGTTAGGCCTATATTATGATAATATTTTAGTAATCTGTCTCCCTTGAAATATTTTTGTAATTTTCGAAACACTTCAAATCCATTCTACCAACGTTGAAATCTATTTTTACCAGTTTTTACTGCTTTTTTATTTCAATAAGTTTATGTTACTACAAGGAAACGCAAGACTTTAAGATGTAGTTACTCCTAAAAGAACATCAGTGGCTTCAATCAACAACTTAAATAAGTACTGTGTAATGTATATCCAGTAACACTGCTGTCAAAAGCGTTGATGGTAGGCGAGCTAAGCAACAAGCATACTTCCTAGGATTATTATAATCAATTAGAATCTTGAGACGACCATTTAGAGAGAATAAGCTTTATAGCTCATGAAAAACGTGTTATGTATTAATGTTTTAATTGGGCATTAGAACTGAGAACAACCAACGGAATGTTTACGAAACTCAGAAAACTAGAAAATAGCAGTAGTCTACTAGAGTTAGATTTACTTACGCTGTGATTTACAAAACATCTGACGTAACAAAAACTATCTGTTTCATCTCAACTCATATTAGTACTTGAAAACTTGCAGTTCACTAGTTAATACACACGTCATTCAAGCAGCTGAGTAACGCATTATATCATGAACTCTAAATTTGGAATTTAGTAAATTCTGAATGAACAGATATATTAGATACATTGTCAGGAGACTTTTAATGATTATGGTTACTGTTATTTAACATCATGTTTTAAAAGTAGTTACTCGCTTCAAGACACTTATACAATAGACTTGAAAAATGTTGCCACAAGTCTTCCGTAAATGCTTCACACCTCCAGAAGGTATAGTGTTATATAGTACAGTATAATTATGTCTACTTCATGATTCAAAATGCCATGTTAAATTGTGACCCATTAGACCACATCTTAAAACGTAAGACAAATGATCTTGAAAGTAGTATCAGAAGTCTTAAAGTGAACAGTTACTCAATACTCATCTACATCTGAGATGAACGGAACGTGTAATGAAGATAAAGTTGGACGGACTCTGCCTTGTAAACGCTTGTTGAAAACTAGAAAATTACCGTTTACCTCAGCGAAGGTTTCCTTGACGGCAGACTTTTTGTGGGGATTAGTGTTCTTAGTTCTAATGTTATTTATATGATGCACTAGATGCATTAGATTTGAATTAAATGCACTGGATAAAGAAAATGTACCATAGTGGATCATGATAAATTTCAGAAAAAGGTGTGTAAAATTACCGTTAAGCTCCGCCGAGTGGGAGTTTTCCTTCTCGTCAACAACGACCTCCGCGTCAGTGTCCCGCACCACTTGTGCGCACAGTGATATCAAGTTGTGTAGTCTATCTGTGGGGAGGCGAGTGTCATCACCAAATATAGGAGTCATCAGAGTAGCCATGGCAACTATCACTAATCGACTTTTGTAGTCATAGCAACTATCACTAATCGACTTTTGTAAGGACCGATAATCTTTCCATGTTATTATAAAAACTACTACACTTATTATAATGGTGAGTGATAATTTCAACTTTATTTTCACTTGAAAATTAACTCATAATTGTCCTAATAATAACCGGACGGCACAATATAGCAGTTGAAATGTATTTGAGTGAGGTGTGTTTGAACGGTGGTTAGTTTATGTATGTGAGGAATGTTGGAGGAATGTTTCGAGCTAGACGTGAGATAAGCAGATTAAAATGCATGTCTGAGATAATGACAGCCCAGCTGTCCTACTTCTTCTGGCTTTACGTCACTGGATTTATAACTTTGCCCCGGATTTTATGCGTCACATTAACTTCAGAAAGCAATCGTACCCATTTACCTATTTTTAAATACCCTGCTGGCAGAGTCAGCATGATTCTTGAGAATCTGGACCGTCTCTGATTGGTAGTTGCAATTTAGCCAGTGAAGAAGAAGAAGACTTATTATACGGACTTACAAGCCAACAGCAAGCAAGGCTGCAACACCGGAAATTCTCGACTGTCAGAGAAGGAGGGGAAAAAAGGAGTTGTTGGAATATTTCTTGACTGTCAAATCCAGACATGCAACGTGCTCAAAACGCCTATTCCCCGTCTAAATGACAGTATTCCACCGTAAACACCCGGTTTAAATTTTGGTTTTTTACTCCGTTTTTGATCACGAGATAAGCAGTCAAAATTTAGATCACTGAGAAAATAAAAAATTGCAACCTAGTAAATTATATTATATCAATGCTAGGTGAGATTTTTAAAGGTGTAGAAATATAGATAGCCTAAGCATGCCTTTACAAAATGGTCATGCGGTGTTGAGGGAGCCGCGAGTGCAAGGTTTGCTCTCCGTTATCAGTGAACCGCTCCCGGGTGGTGACTATGAAATAGCAGCGCTAGTCTGCATCTATCATGTACCGTTATTTTCAGGGTGCTGGATGAGCTATAAGGCTATATGATAGTTGCCGGTATGACTACACCTATTGTTTTGACGACAGTCTCTGTACCATGGTGACGGTGTGAGGTGTTACCATGGAGACGCTAGTGCTACCCTACCTGATGGTATAATCTTGGTCTGGCCGATCGTTGCTATGCTCAGGGAGGTAGCTACGTTAACGAACCCGTCCTTCTGCAGCTGGCTGAAAATATTCACCCAATCAGAATTGAGAAAAATGATGACGTGGTGGTCACGTGAGCACCCGACACGTGTGGGTTGCCATGGTAACGTGACACGGGTGTCCCGGCCAATGAGAGTTCGTGATGTGACACTTCACACCTAGAAAAACAGACTAAAGGTGCATGAGTTGAGATCCTGAAAATTGGGATATAATAAGATGATTTCAACAGGGTTTTCTCCGTTCAAGTAGGGTCGCGGAGTGGGCAGGCCTGAGTGTCATCACCTACCGGAGCACTAAAACACCGTGCTCTAGCAGGTCGGGGAGGACTAGAGTATTGTACCCCAACCTGGACAAGATAGCACCATACAGCCCAGCAAGCATGTAGCCTGTTCAGCAACATTATTTAATAAGATCTAGAAGACAAACTGTAAGTCAGAGATTAGACATTTCGCATTGCAATTAAGGCATTTTTTAAAACTGATCGGATCGTCCCTTTGGATTTATCCCCATAATGAACTGAAATTTTAGCGTGCCTATTGCCAAAAAAAGCAGCTGGGACACATTAGTGGTGTTGAGATTAGTCACAGATCGAAAATTCTCGACTGGTCAGTGGTCTCACTAATCAGATTCTACTCAAAGATAAGTTTTACGATAATTTTTACTGCACCCTTGTATGACTACACATTGTGGCATACCGGAGTAGACGACCGTAGATTAAAGATTTGAAACAGGCAAACAATTTTAATATTAAATTTGATAGAAACACACCACATTAATTATCCTTACATAATATATTCGATGGGATAAAACCTTAAAATAAAATACACAACGCTAGCGTTCAAGTTGCACACTTCGGGATTCGTTTCACGGCAGCCTCTAAAATATCCGTTTCACGGCATCCTCTAAAATCTTGTTATATTATGACAATATCTTCATACGTTACAAATAACGGGAACTGAAGCTGATAAGTAGTTGTCGGAAGGCAATGTTACTTAGTTGATATCATTTAATATCTATACCTTGTAATGATCTAACTAGAGAACCCGGTCTAATAGGACATAGCCAGCACTATTACTTACTGCTGAGACTTGGAAAAACCCTGCCAATTTTATCAAGACATCATCCATTTTTTAACGACTTAGCGAAAGCTGTCCCTGCTCTAGATTGAATATTCCAACTTGAACAAGAGCTAAGAAGTTAAGCAGATGTACCTAAGATATATCTAGAGAATCAGCAGAAAATTGTCTGATTTACTCCTGGGTAATAGCTTTCCATTTCATTATTATATAACTGTGGTACCATCACTGAGGGGAAATTCAACTTGTCAGTTAAGAGAATTTAAAGTCACTGCTTCAATTCGCACGGTTAGAAAGATTGATGGAGTATAAGCGACAAGATAACCCGTTCAATCGCCAGCTCAGGATGTCTTACCTGTAGTCATATCAACTTAGAAATCCTTTACTATAAACATATTGTTATTTATTTTATGTCCGAGAACCGTGTACTGTTGGTGTTATATAAGTTGAAATATCTAAACATAATTGCTTCCGATCTAGCAGCCGTAAACTGAAGTCGAGTCCTCTAATTTGACATCTGCTTGCTGACCGCTGGTTTACCCCACCGGGCGCATCTGTCAAGTTACCCTGTTACAGTTTGATAAAGATTAAAGACCTAAAAACAAATCAGCCAGTGATCTCTCTCCCGCTCTCTCTCTCTCTCTGCCTGCATGCTCGGGGATCATCAACAGTGTGGCCTCGACATCATAAATATCATACATCAAAATACGTATCTTGATGGGGAGCTGTGCTGGTGGGTTGCGCTGTCTAGACTGGAACTATTAAACTATTTAGTGGTTTTACTGGGGCTCTGTCCACTGAGTTAGCAGTAAAAGCACCATCTCACTGCTCTAAATAAGGAGCGAGGCAGCTTTTCAGATGCGTCATGTGACCGTATCCCACCATCAGAGCAAGAGCTAGAGATGCCTGAACTAGTTCTAGATAACTGCACTGTGTAACTGGGAACGAGGGGGTCCAGTGGAATCTGGCCCCGAAATTCCAAGAAATCTACGTAAAGAGCTCATTTTTCATAAAAAATCGTCGACCTTTTGAAGCCTTGATCATGTCCGACCCCTGAACACTTTTTCAGGTCATGTAGAAATTAAAATGCAATTTTTTGTGACCACCCCGTCCGGCATGTTGGTTTAAAAATGGGTTTCCAGTTAATAACATAACTCTGCGGAAGACTCATCCATGACAAAAAAGGGTTTAATGCTAACTCTTCCTGTTATTGAACAGGTAGGTGGTAGAGACCAGAGCGTATCCATCAGCACTCATTAAATTGTACATCTCAACCAGAAGAGCAGCCCATCTCTGTGCCTTCCCACTGCATTTTAAAAGGAGTATTAGTTAATGAGGCGGGGGTGCAGTGCTGGGTGTACCGTGCGAGGCTGGGTGCGAGGTGCACAATATAAAGATGTTGTTTAAAATGGCGTGGGACACAGGACTGGTGATGTTAGCTCTGAGAGAGAGAAAGAGAGAGAGCCGAAGTCAGTTCCAACTACCCTGTATTCTGAGAGAGGAACCCACCTGTGAGTTGAGAGTTTATCAGAGTCTTATCAGAGAGGGGTTGGTGTGTGAGTCGCGGTGGGTAAAGTTAGGCAATTAAATGTGAGCTTTACTAAGTGACACCCTCCTGTTTCCAGAGAATTAGATCGGGGACGGCACTGCTCAGCTGTTAGAGCGCAACCGCACACAGACTCCGCTCAACGCTCCAATCAGGGGCAGGAACCAGGCTCACGTGAGGTGGAGGAACCAATCAGCCGGCAGCGTTCCCCAGTCAACGCCCCAGCTCGTTTCCCATTTTCTAAGCTCTCTTTATTATAGGGCATGTCTGTCAGCACGGTGCGGTCCAATGGGCGGGGAGAAGCACTGTCACGTGACACAACCCCAGCAACCTGTAAGCATTTCATCAACTGGCCGGGCACGTCAACACACGTATTTCAAATATACACAACCGCCAGTACTCTGTTAGCGGGGGATGGAGTGTACACAGAGCGGTGCAGCTGCTATCTCACCACTAGTAGTAGCCACCCTCACTCCTGAACAATCCCGGTATCTAACAATGCTACCTCCCCAACATAGCTCTCTCTCTCTCTCCCTCCCTCAGCTAGCTTAGCTCTTTAGTACAGCTAGAAAGGTGCCGAATACTCATACGGCCTCCCGCTCACCAGCAGCTATGACTTGACGTACTCGGGACATCTGGTTTTGTGTCCTGAGAACTATTTGGAACACACTGAACATTTTCACTGTCCTCTGCAGCACTGACGATGATTTAGTGGAGATACATGATAATTGTCAATTCAGGGTTCATTACCCGCACTAACTGAGCTAGGTCTTGACTTGACAGCAGTCGGACGGACTGAAATTAGTTTGGACCCGTGCTAGTCAGAGAGCTGTGCTCTACAAACCACCACACACGGTCACCAGGATGAGTTACAGCTCGATTTGCTGGTCGGTACTAAGTGGCCTGCTGTTTTAGAGTTTCCAATCCTTTTTCACTCGACACTCAGGGCGCTGTCTATCTCGAAAAACAAACAGTTTATAGTATTATCGTGTTATCAGATCTACCGCAAAAGTTTCCATCACGTGACTGAACTTGCTTGGTATTGGCTCCTTAAATCTCACGTGATTAGGGGAAGCGGAACTACCAGCGTTTAAACCACAGTTTTAATGGTCCTCTCAACAAGGAATATTCAGATATCGCTAACTCGGCACGTGTGGTAAATAACTACTTTCTCATTGTTTGGTACGAAGGCCATAGCGAGCAGATATTGGTCTAAGAGAAGAAGTGTTTACTGCTCTCTGATTACTCACCAATCCTGGAGATAGGGTCGCGTAATGGCAAGGACTCTGCATTTGCCCACGTGAGACTTGTAACTGATCATGTGACCCAGGTAACTGGTCACATGACCCTGTAACTGGTCATTACCGAGCCCTCTATCTCAGGCTGTAGGGTTGCGGTATCAGCCAGTGGTTGCACTGCTCTGCTCATTACCCACATTACAGGGGATCCAGGTACGAACACGTGGGGATGGTTATGAGACCACGTGACTCGTTACCCTGGTAACGTGACCTGCAGAGCGCTGACAATCACGTGATTCGTCCACCTCCTCACTGGATCAAATACTCAGCAGGAAGTGTTTACGAGGACGGTAATAATCTACTGCTGTTGTCAAGGTAACTGGATAGTCTAGGGCGATCCACTGAACTTCAATTACATAATGCTCTCAAATGCTTAGGGTAGGTCCGGACTGAAGGCAATATTTGCTACACTAAAATAGCCCTATTTTACAGCGTACACTGGACCGAATACCCCGACCTAAACGTCTCCTATCTCTTTACCTAAGACTTAGAAGTCATGTACGAACCATCCCGGAGCATTTGGTCCGGTTATATTGTGTAACCTAAGATTGAAAGCGGTGGTACAGTGGTGCATGCTTTGTTCCGGATCTTGTGACCGCTGCCCCTTTATCTCTATCATTTGACACTTTGACAAATTTTTAACAGGGCCCACAAAAATGGTGCGATAAGCGGCTGGGAGGATCTGTTTGCAAATAAAAATGACCCGTATGAATAAGTTAAATTAATGCCTTATCGACAAATCCCCGAAGATAACCATATTAACGTTACGATTACAATTCACCCGTTAAAACTGTTCGACGTTCAGAGGTGCTAACAAACAAACGCTTGGAAATTATTTTGGCGTTTTATTGCATTATTTTACTTTGATGACCACAAATTCTTATCAAACTGAGCTGGTGTTTTGCGGTATAAATCAAGTCGTCAAAACTTATTTTCAGTCGACTAAGAATTGCAGCATCTCATATTTTGCAGAATACCTCGTATTTTAAAGTATATTTACTAGATCAGATCATCAGATCATCTGATCAATATTCAAAAATATATTGCTCATGGCAACAAATAAAAAGACCTGAGAGCGGTATACATGCGTCGTACAGTGTCCATGAGCTCATTTACATTTCTGTTTCAAAGCAAGATCATTGAGAACACAAGTCTCGGGGCTTGACCAAACTTTTAAGTTCCCAGATTATAACACTAAATGCATTGTATATATACACATCACATCACAGCACAGATAATGCAATCTCTACTAAGAGATGTTTACAGGACATATTGTTCAGAGTAGAGACTACACAATGTAGGATACTGAGTAAAACTAAATAGAACACAGCCCACAGTATTTTCCACACGATTCATCTAATTTGAGCAGGAATCTAAAATCATGGCAAAATCACGAAAAGGTCAGAAATAGATAGAGGTAATTTCTCCAATTTAAGAGTCACAACCGTTATAAAATTATTATTTCAGTCGGTATAATCTGCATGTACAATCTACACAAGATAAAGCATCTTAGAATCAGGGGCCTTTAAAAAGCCAATAAATTTAAAAAATGTTATCCGTTTATATTACGTTAACTTTGAAGGCAATAAGAAACAATTAAAAATTCATGATAAAAAGTTCACTTAATTTTAGTTATAATATCATGTTTATTTAAATAAGAGTAACTACCTGACAATTAATCTGTATAGAAACTGTTTCCCCGGCCTCAACTCTGGCATAGAGCCCCGCTTCCTATAATAATGGGATACGATTAGTATAAATACCTGGCACTATCATTTTAAGTATATCAATGTATCATTTTAGGTATATCTCAGTGGGTTAAGAAATCATAATTTGATACATTCTGTTATGTACAAAAATGAAATTATTGTTAATTATGTAATTATAATAGCTATTAGGTGTCTTTAATATTTGATTACAAATGCTGCCAAATAATACAAGCACTTGCACTTGTCATGATTCCAGTGCAGTGCAGGTAGTTATAAAAGTGGATTGAAACGACAAGTTGTTCAATCTGAAATCAGTTACTAAGGTAATTTTCACAAATATATTCTTCAAATTTGGCCTTTCCTTGGTCCCCTTTATCTTCACTCGGCCCTAGACCTTGTATGGCAAAACCATGAAGGAAATAGTGAGGTAGATCGGAGTGTATGGTAAATCTCGATCAAAGATTATAGTTGACAGTATTAAAGTAAGGTGTAGATACGTTAACTAAGGTGCTCGACTAGCTTTTCTAACAGCAGGATACCGACTTACCTTTGTAAGCCGTGATGATCGACCTTTCTAAGTTGAAGCCTTTAAGTGGGCCACAAGGCATATTATTCTGATATTTCTGTTATTTCCTTCTTATAAATCAAGAGGCTTGCATATAATGAACATATTATTGACATGGGTGCAGAGTTATGTTCTGTAAGTGCTTTTACTTGGCACAAAGCAACACAGTAAAATTGGAGATAGTTGGTGAAATAGCTGAGACAGCAATATAAAAACATTGGTTCGAAACGTTTGGGTACAACTATTTCACAATGGATACTTTTGCACCTTAACTAATAAGGTACAGGTTGAGCTGCTGTTTTAAATTATATCTGTAGAAATGGAGCAGATATAATATATTCGACTGAACGGTATGGTTCAGCCGAAATCTCTTCTTTATACATGTAGATGAATAAAAAGGATTTTTAATGCAGGTAAAAATCTTAACTATTTGATAGCTGGGACTCTTATCCCAAACTGGGCAAGCCATCAGAAAGATCCTGCAGAGCGAGTTTTAAAAACTTTGATGTTTCCACTTCTGTGCAGTTTACATTTTGGTTCAGAAATCTAAAAGACATTTTTAGGAAGTATCAGACAACACTGGTAAGTATCAACAACACTGGTAAATGTATTCTATGATTATATTTAATGCATTCCTATGTCCGTCTATTGATAGAGCAGATTATACTGAGTCAATCTATTTGTCCAAAAAGAAAATGTGCAGCTCTAGCGATGTTCTCTCTTCTTTCACAGCATTCTTTTAGGGTACTGTGGAGCTTGACTCATGGGAATTCATATTTTCTCAGTTCAGCCTCAGCTCAGGTTAGAATAAACATTTCTTTAGTTTTCAAGTTTAACTTTGCAAAATGCAAACAGGTTTTCCATAGGAGTGAGATCAAATTTTGGGCATCTATCACATTGGGTTGCTTGAGTAGGTGAATTGTCTAGAAAGTGGCTTGATTATATATATATATATATAACTCTAAAACTCTGGTCACAAGAGCAACTGCCTAAACGTGCAGAAGTGAAAACAAATAAATAAAATACTAGCAATCCTTTAAATTCGCAATAAATAAGTTCGTTCAATGTCATTATATAATTCTAAAACCACATATATGTGACCAGTAAATAATTTAATTGGTCTATAGACTACTGTATAAAATTCTCAATATAAACTTTTAAACAATAATAAATTAATTAAAAAACACACAACAACCTTTGGTGTGTAAGAATGATTAAACAGCCTCATTTTGACACAAAATATCTTCATAATATTATAGTATATGCTATAATATTAGAACTGTTAAGTTGAGTTCAGGTAACAGAATTTAACTGTAATAGAACCTCTGCTGTGTTATCCACTGTTGAGATGTAGCCATATCTTCGTCCGGTCTAACATTGACCCCGGCTCATGAAATATATGCTTCGTCCGGTCTAACATTGAACCCGGCTCACTAATCATAGGGATGGTGTAGTTATGGTAGTTGGAATATAATCAACTGTTTAAAGTTTTATCTCTATTCGAAGGAATTCTTCTGCATCCTTTGTTATTTCCAGTGCTAGATCAAAGAACTCACGAAGTCTGCTCCATGATATCAACATTGAGTTCCCACCATAGCCTTGGTTTTTGATGTTGTGGAAAGGGTGTCTTTCAAGAAGCTCACTCATTTTGTTCCTTTTATCTGCTTGTACATCAGGACAGTCGGTAAGCAGGTGAAGTGAATTGATTGATGTTTACTTATCTGAAGATCATTTTCTCAGCATGTATAGAGCATTTTTATGTTTTTTTGTGGAATTAATCTAAGTTGAGCTTTTAACGAAATCTAGCTCTCTTGAATCTCCTGCAATTTGGACAGAAATTCGCCACTATTCTTAGGAAATACCAACCACTTCAACCACTTCAAGTAAGAAAACTGACAGAATTACTGGCTTGATCGAAATGGAATTAATTGGAACGTAAAGAAAGAAGTTGAAGGTACATTTTGGCGAAATCATTTACGAAAAGCTGAGAAAAACTTAACAACCACATTAAACTAAGCAAAATCAAAGAAACCTCTACATAAGGGAGAAGAAAGAATCTTTTCACTGGGAGAAGAGTGCAATCAAGTCTTACAGGAATTACGTCAGGAAAACAACAATCATAAAAAAAATCTATACAGTACACAATTGTCCTGAAATAAACCTATCTTGAGTGACCGCAATGAAATAATTTGTAAAATCTTAAAAATTAGTATGGGAAAATCTAATTCAACAAATATCGCCAGAAAAATCTCCTGTAGGAAAATCTTTGTTTCTTAAACCAAATCCTTTGATGGCAAGCATGAAGCATCAAAAATTTAAATTTCAATAATTCTGATGAAAATCTGATAATCTGATAATGTCGAAAGAAATATTCTCTAAAACAATTAGTAGCAGCCATGAGACTAAGGTGCTTGTTGTATTCGCTGAGATGAAGAACAGTGGCCTGATCCTACACTAAAATAACTTGCTCTTCGGTCACAACAAAAGTAAAGGTCTAGACAGCCGAATAATGGATTCAATTCACAGCAGCTTACAATTCTTTTCTGGCATCCGGAAGATCATGGGTGAAAACAATGATGAAAAAACCTTGGAAATTCTCCTTGATACGAACTTCTACAATGCCTCGAAGTCCAGGCCACTGCAGTGGCGTAACGTTGCCTGAGCTGTTGGCGCCCCCCCTGCCGAAAAATGCGCCCCCCTGTTGGCGCCCCCTCCCCTTTTGGTGCCCCTCCCTAAAATTGAACAAATTAGGTGATTTTAAAGAATACGCCGGTAAAATCTCTAAAAAAGTGTGTATCTAGAGCAAAACGCGCAGTTTTGCTAGTACTTTAGTTAAGTTTTCGAAATTGTCCCACATTCAAACGACGATTTGGCGCCCCCCTAAGACGGCGCCCCCCTGCACAGCGGGGTCAGCAGGGCCTTTCGTTACGCCACTGGGCCACTGGTTGAATTTCTTTGGCCAACTAGAGAATTGAGATACCAATGAAGTTCAATAAGTTTATCTGGTCTCATTTAGTAATCCACATTGAAGGATGCTGGAATTCAGCATTCCAGCATCTTACAAAGAAAACATTGAAGTAACTGGATTTTGCACACATATGAAAGGGGATGGCATCATCTTAAGGAGGGAGGAAATGCAGACTACCACTGTTCCAGCACTTTCGAAGTTCCCGATGCAATGTGGCAACGGGCAAGAAACCAAGGCTCATGCTGCCGCTGCATGAACTAAAGCAGTAAATAAACAGCATCACATGTGCATATACAAACAATTAGGCAGGTATACATTTTAATATTTTATTTTCCACTTGAAGGGGACAATGATTAATTATTTAAATTATTAGCTAGTTTTGATTTAATTATAACATAAATAGCGCGATCGAAATGCATTCAAATTATATTTTTTAAAACTCATCACATTATAGTTTAGATGGAGGTGGTGTTAGTGAGTCTGGGAGTAGAACTATTACTTGTAATACGTATACCCCCAGAACTTGTATCACTTAACCATGCTTTTAGTATTTATACAATATGGACTACAACTTTTACCCTACAAATGCCTCATGATAATAATGTCGTATATTTTTAATTCTCTTTGCTGTATTGTATAATGTACTATTTGTAAAAGTTTCAAATCATTCAAGCTGAAATAATTTAAGTTAAAATCATTTGTAAATGTTAAAATGTAAACATTTTGACCGTTATATGTTTATAAAGCAATGAAAGGCATTAGTTTGGTCAAATCAAACGGAACATATGCTATCAGACTTTCAACTGACTATGACTTATTCATTGTTATGTTTTAAGTTGTGTCGTGGGATCATTAAGTAAAATACAATTTTAAATAAAATACAATTTTTATTTTCCACAGAAGAATCAATACATATTGAATTATTAATATCCGATAATTCCATTAATAATCATTAAAAGTTGCTTTGTAAAATCCAAAACGAAAAGCCGTTAGCTGAACGCGCGCGGCATCTTTTCGGCAGTTGCCGGCCTAACTTGTACCCGCTAACATCAAAGCCGTCACGCGCACCAAGTGCTGGGGTGCATTCTCATTGACAATTAAACTTAGTCAAAGATATTTATATACAATTCCTAAATTAAATCAATAATCATGTTAATATGAGTATTAAACACTACTCGACAACAAATATTTGCCGGCGCATCGACGATTCAGTTGCCGAAACAAAAATCAAATGTCTGCTTTTTCGTTTCGGGAACTGTTTTTGACCATTTTTAATGGTCTGGCCCGGCGTAGCACTTGCCATCGAGAATTAATTGACGATGTCAATTCATGGCAGCTCGGCGCGGCACAGTAGCGCATTTCGCCGATCTAGCCAGGAGATCGGCGCTGTGAGAAGCCTTATTAAGTGCGCGGCGCGGCAAAGTAACGCATCGCGCTACAACATCGAGAAGAAAGCTGAAAGCGGCGCGCGCTACTTCGAAGAAATTTAGACGAGTAACATCCGTCAAGAACTGTTTGAACATTGAAATAATTGTTTGTTTGAAACCCCAAATTGTTGAAACCCCAATTGAATAATTTATTTTAAGATTTTGTTGACCATTGTTAATGGTCTGACCCGGCGCGCGCTACTTCGTAGCACTTGCCGTTCGAAGAAATTTAGACGAGTAACATCCGTCAAAGATTTTGTTGAAATCAAATTTGTGCAATTTGTATTACATTTTTAAAAAATAGTATCGCTCATGACTCACTTGTTTCACCTAACCATGTGCTTTCACGCCGCTGCGGGCGCGTTTGTTTCGGGAAGGTGGGCGCGCGCTACTGCAAGCACAAGGGCTCTGAATAAAGCAATTCACTTGCCAGCATGATGTCATGTGACATTATAATAAATCAATTTTACTGTAATGTCACCAAAAGAAATAGTTGCAATGATTGACCCTAACTTAATTTTTGGAAGACGTTGTCGTTTTGCATAGTAAAAATCTGAAAGGATTGACAATTTCAATAAAATATTTTATATGCATTGCAATATATTTATATTGTTTATTGGTTAAAATTTTAATTAAAGTTATCATGGTAATTGACTTAATAGAATAAATATGTATGTAAAACTTTATTATATGAAACCTACCGAGGCGCGCGTGTCTATACAGTTTTAATATTCGGAACAAATATTTTATTAACGGGTGATACAAGCATGCGCTACTTCGAAGAAATTTAAACGATGAACATCTGTCAACACAATAGTGAATGAGAAAATAAAATAGAAATAACTGCGCTCGGGATCAAAACTCGGAAAATTAAAGAAGCTAACACATTTATATTAAACTTACTTGTTGATTGACTATGTTGTATGTCAACCCTTCCAGATCGTTGCTCTTATGTTGAAAGCGTCGGAATCAATTTTAGGTTTCTACATTACATGATATACTGTATATACTATATATTTTGATAGGCGAGGGCCTAAACGGATTGTTGTTGTGAAGTGATTTAAATTAGTGGGATGTCATTTTTAGTTGACCGTTTTATATATTACAAAGGGTTTTATTTTCTACCCTGGTTTTATAAAAATTGTTTACCATTTTTATTAAATTCAATCTATTGTATTGGTTTATTCATTTTCGAAAGAGTCTTACTTTATAGTTATATTATAGCTAGACAATTGCCATTGTTGAAATTACCTTTGTATATTGTTTTCTTAAATTTTTAAATTTTTAAATTTTTAAAATTTTCTAAATTGTTATATATTGTTTGAACCATTTTCCCGGTTCTTTGCCATTTGCTCTATGTGTGATGTATGCTAACTATTGTACTGCAACTGCAAATACGCATTACCTTCTTCTTGCTCAATTCTAAAAGTGCTTACATTCCGGTTTCTGAAAACTCATTTCAGTATATCAAGAAAAACCTGTCGGTCGATAGTTTCAAGCATCGAGATTCAACTTCATTAACTGTAAAACTTGGTCAGATCAGTGGCGTAACGTTGCCTGTTGGCGCCCCCGCCGAAAATGCGCCCCCCTGTTGGCATCCCCTCCCCTGTTGACGCCCCTCCCTAAAATCGGTCAGAAAAGGAGGCTCTATCCCGGGACACCAACATTTTTTGGGTTGGCACCCAGGAGAAAGCTGCCTTATTCTTTGTATTTTGTCTCAAGTATTATAGCATCTTCTACCACTCTGTTTTTTCACCGTCTGTAGACTTGTATGTTGCCCAGATAATAATTTGACATGACTGTATTGGATTTTCTGTAACATCAGTTACTGTTCTGCAGTAAGCTTTTTTAATAATTTTGTATTGTATATTGAAGTATTCAGATTGTTTGTATATTTGGAGTTCTATATATTCTTATAGAAATTTTAATATTTTATGATTTTTCATCTTTATTATCTTGAATATCATTTTGTTAGTCTGATGAGTCTCATACATAGATTTCTTGTGGTCATCATCTATTTTTCATATGTTTTGTTAGAAAACCTGCTAACCTTTCTTGGATATCTTCTTACATTAGGTGTATCTGCCTTATTTAGTCAGGATTTAACTTGCAGCTATAAACTTCCGTTTTTACTCCAGTCCAAGGCGAGATGCACGATCTCTACTGTCATTTAGGTATCATTTACAGCTGAGCATAAGGGTTAAATTTAAATTATTTAACCTTTTGGTGCTGTATAAAAATAACATTAATTTATTATTAATATTATTAAAATTGAACAAATTAGATGATTTAAGAGAATACGCCGGTAAAATCTATAAAAAATGTGTTTCCAGAGCAAAACGCGCAGTTTTGCTAGTACCTCAGCTAAGTTTTTCAAAATTGTTCCACATTCATACGACGATTTTGCGCCCCCCTCAGATGGCGCCCGCGCTAAGGGCGTGCCCAGGGGGGGTGATGCAGGCGGTCACCACCTCCTTTTTGAAATGTTGACCTATAATTTTTGTAGAAAATTTACTTTTATAAAACTTTTCACAAAACGACATCAAACACAAGTATTATTTTAAAAACAAATGTACTAAGTTCGAACTAATTAATTTAGGCCGTTACACATACCTTGTGCATACATTTTCCACGGAATGGCTGCCCCAATTCTAGGTAGCCACTTCTTGATGGTTGGGTGGAAATCGATGAGGCTGATGACCCATGAGGCTCGAGATCCAATGAGTCGTTGTAACTGTCAACTACCGTCACACGTAGACTCAGCAATTATCGTAACAAATATGATACAATATGAGAAACCTAATTTTAGACTATTTTTTGGTCTAAAATTTATTAATGATTAATTACAATGTTTCTCGATTATCTCTAATGACCAAGTGTGTTATTAACTGCTTTGAACCTTCAGTATTGATATCCTATTGGTTTAGCATATAATTCAGTTAAAAAGTTTCCGGGGGCTGCACCCCTGGGCCTATGCCGCTGCTCGTGGCGGTAGCCTCGGAGCCTGCACTTTGCGCCAACTCCTTGCCTACCCCTTTGAAAAATCCTGTGCACGCCCCTGCCTCGTGCACAGTGGGGTCAGCGGGGCCCTTCGTTACGCCACTGGGTCAGATTACACTACCAAAACTATAATTTGATTTAATTCAAACCAATTATCGAATAAAATTAAATTACTTAGAAGACTGCTTTGCAAAAGTATTACATTGAGGCTCAAATTAGCATATTGCTTTTTCTGTCACTGAGTGACTTGCTATCACAACTCATTCGAGGAATTATATGTATCACATCTTAACTATTGTTTGGTGTGTTACTTTTTTTTGGCTTTAGCTTTACTTTAAGTCTTATTGGTTTTATCCATAAAATTGCATTTTCATTGACATTTATGTAACTTGGAGTCGGAGAAACTTTTTCTGTAGCTTATAATTATTAGCTTTTATCCTTCCTAGATACCAAGACATCTTGTCGCTGAACTTTACCTCGGCCTATTAAAAAACTAAGACAATTTCTGTAGGAAATACAGCTACTGACAGCTGATATTATGACCTGATGTCCCCACTCAGAGATACCAGCTTAAATTATTATTTTGATGATGAATTAATGCCTTTTCTTGTTCTGTCCAATAAATCACTACAAACTCGATAGGTCACAGAGAAATGCTTGGCTGTACCAGAACAGCCCTGAAGAGAACTTCCACTCTTATCTCTCAATGTCGTCACTATGCTTATACAGCTGAACATGAGTCCATGAAAGATAATTTGACGAAACTCATAGAGAGAGAAATTAATCCGCATTGTGACAAATGGGAGAAAGATGAGATATTTCCTGCTCACGAAGTTTTTAAACTTCTTGGTCAGTTACTCATTAAAATCAACTGAACAGATATAATTTCAGTATTTAATTTGATTAGATGAATTAAATCAAATCAAATATTTGATCCAGACCCTTGATAATCATTCAACCTTCTAAGCTTTATTTGTTATTTATTAAATGTATTAAACTGATCGAAAATATACAGGTGATAATGGATATCTTGGAATTTCAAAACCTGTCGAGTATGGTGGCCTTGGTTTAGATTATAGCTATGAGATTGTTGCTGCGGGGGCATATGCCTCAATCAATTGTGGTGGTGTATCTATGGCCATTGGTGTTCAATGTGATATGGCAACCCCTGCATTGGCAAAATATGGATCTCACCATGTGAAGGAGAATTTCCTCAAACCAACTATTGCTGGTAAGATTTAAATCAATTATAAAAGAATTCTAATTGTTTTATTAACTTGATTTATGTTTAAAACATCAGCTCATATTACTTAAAACATCACTTATTGTACACGTCATTTTTGTAATGGGCCCACTTTAACTAGCCCAGATTAACTAATTATTGTGAAACAAAGAGCGAATAAGTCTATTATAATTAACTTAAAGGATGAGGGGACCTTAGAAAAAGTTTTTTTCTCGTGCAAATCCTTTTATTACATTAATCGTATAAACCACTTTAGTGAAATCCGCAAAGTTGTATTTCATTCGCGCGCCGAGATATCCAGCCAAAACAATTCGAACCTGTGACGTCAATTATGTGAGTTGCTCTGATCCGCGCATATAGAAATACAGGTAAAATGAGCGTGCGGGCCGACTAAATTACTAATTAAGAATAAATTAACAATTCACGATACTAACGAGCCTATAACCAATGGAGAGGACACTTTTTATGACCGGTTGAAAAAAGAATTATCACCCTACGATAACCATGAGCCGAGATACACCTGGAATAAGATTGAAGTCACACAGAAAGGCATGTAAATTATGTATATTTATAGCTCCCAACGTAACACCTAGCAACTCCCTGTTTCGTACCACAGTTGATATATCAACATGTCATATCAACACAACACGGTCCTAATAAAAATGGATCGGGTAGGTATGAAATGCATGTCTTCATTCCAGTTGGACAAGCACCAAGCACCAAGCACCAAGCTTTTAAGTTCTAACTCACTATGTGACACTACTTATAACGTAAGCAAGATTTGCAACTATTACACCAAGCAATATTATACCAAGCATAGCAGACGAACACATCCACATTTGTTACGCTTTACACTCAAGTCACAGCAAACTAAAACGGTAAATTATAAATGAGTGTACAACTAAAGGCCGGTACCCGCACAGTGTCAAACCGCACGTGCGTACTCAGATAGGACTAGAGGCGCCGAGGGCCAGCTAGTAAAATGTCTTCTACTACATCATAAATTCTTTTTAATTGTGTCCATATCGGGTTTCAAACAAGTCAAAACAAAATAGCAGTTTGTGGTTTAGTTAGCGGATGCTACTTATCTTAGCTATTTATAAATAGAAATACCTATACTACAACTACAAGAAAGCCTTTCTGAGTTACATTTAACTATTATTATTAAAGAGAATTATTCGTAACCTAGACTAATTCAGTGCAACCAAAGATACCGCTCTCGCAAACGCCAAAGGTAACACGACGTAATTAAAACAGAACAGAACGAAATGTTGACACGAGCAAAGGGTGCGCGCGCACGTTGGTCTTAACACATAAGTGACGTCACAGCCCAAAATTGCTATCAGCCAATAGGAGCGCGGCGTGATATTGCACGAATTATCGATTTCACAGTCCGGCGTATTTTTTGATTCTACACACTTTCCAGGACTTAAACGCGAATATTTGGAAGTAAATTCTAAGGTCCCCTCATCCTTTAATTATTGTTTATAGGTGACTATGTAGCCTGTCTTGGAGTGAGTGAAGTAGGGAGTGGATCTGATGTTTCAAGCATCAAGAGTAGAGGTGGGTTAATTGTTTTACATTTCATTGATATTCCTATGCTTTTTCTTCGTTTTAATAATCACTGTGCATTTATGATAATACCTATTTTGCAGCTCATGTTGATGGAAATGAGTGGGTAATAAATGGCGGGAAGATGTGGACAACAAACGGTACTCAGGCAGACTGGATGTGCATGTTGGTGAACTCAAATGATAATCCAAACCCTCATCGCAGCAAGTCTCTGATTTGTGTGCCCATGAACACTAAAGGTGTTAGTGTTCACAGGTAACCATTTATTTTCAGCGTGTAAATTTGCTAATTTATCATTTTATTTAAGTCTGTTTCCTTTTTAGTGTTTAAGATACATTATGTAAAATCAACTTATAGATACTTAATCGTGTTATAGTGGTTATAGAGGTAATTTACTTGCAATGTATTCAGAAAAATCAAAAAGATGGGCATGCATTCGTCAGACACAGCTGAAATAACAATGGAGAATGTGAGAGTTCCTCTTGAAAATCTCATCGGCGAGGAAGGCAAAGGTTTCCAGCAGCAGATGAACCAGTTCCAGAATGAACGAATGTAAGCAGTTCTTTTCTCTTTTGACAATATTTATTACAGATCCTTAATTTTCTCTTTGCAATTTCGCACTTTCGTTCAAATATCAATATTTATTTTTAATTGTAGTTGACAAAATGAGAGTCTCCACTCAGTGTGTTAAAACATAATTCTTTGTCGACGTTTCGGCTACATGCCTTTGTCATAAACAATTCCTCATAGCACTACAAACATTTTACTATGAGGAATTGTTCACGGCTTGTTGCGGTGTGGATTCTTTTAGCCGTTATATTTTATGTTTCTTTTGGACAAAAATTTGTGATCGTTGTTGGGTTTCAAGATGTTATTTGTTGTTGTTATATTTCGTAGTATTAATAGATTATTTTAACATTGTATCTTTGCAGCTATGTAAGTTTTCAGTACGTCCTGTTTATGACAAAGGCATGTAGCTGAAACGTCGACAAAGAATTATGTTTTAACACACTGAGTGGAGACTCTCATTTCGTCAACTACAATTAAAAATAAATGATTGACCCACTCATAAGAGCAAAACAAGATTACAAATATCAATATTGTTGTGAATGTTCACATTACATTGCTTATTCTACAGTAAAAATATTTACCGGCAAAGCATCTTAACCTTTTGAATTTCCAACTTAATAAAGTTATCTTCTCTCAGCTACGCAGCTGCTGGAGCTCTCCCTGCGATGGACAGAGCCATACAGGAGACAATTGCATACACTTCACAACGCCAAGCATTTGGAAAGAGTATACTTGATAATCAGTACGTTCACTACAGACTTGCTGAGTTACAGACAGAGGTTGAATGTCTCAGGGCTCTTTTAAACCAGGTTAGTTTCAATTTCGAACCTCAGTAAAGTAAGTAATGATTATAAGAGTGACAACAGTTTATTAATTCTACTTTTTTTCTTCTTTTTTTCAAATTATTTCCAAATAAAATATTAAATATGATTATATTCTGATGTTCTTATGAAAATATGAAGTCAAATTCTTGCAGTGTGTTGAACAGCATGTAGCTGGTGAAGACATTACTCCGCAAGCAACCATGCTGAAGTTGAAGAGTGGTAGACTGGTTAGAGAAGTAACGGATTCCTGCCTGCAATTCTGGGGAGGTTAGTTTCCCAAGTACTTCCAAGGGTTAAATCTTTTTTTTTGAGATCTATTTGGTCACAGCTATTTGGTCACAGCTAAAATGAATCTTGATAAATGCCGAGTGAACTTTACTGCCATTACAAGACATGCTCCATACTTTTTCAATGAAATTATTGAAGGAATGTATGCAGTTTTAAAGTTTGTAATTTTGCGAATTTTTCAGGTATGGGCTACTCAGACGATGTTATAATCTCCAGGCTCTACAGAGATACCAGACTCATGAGCATTGGTGGCGGAGCTGATGAGGTCATGCTCAATGTCATCTGCAAATATATGGGGATTGATCCTAGTTCCAGAAGTTAGAGACAACATTGTTAATTTATATAGATGTTTATTCACATTTGATTTAAAATGTGGTTTGTCTTCCTGCGAGAAATAAATAAGTAACATTGATGATCATGGAGTAATCATTGCTTCAGATAAAACTGTTGATTTTTGTGCTAATTACAGACAGGCGTTTAATTGTTATATTATATTCTACCTACCATGACCCTAAACGAGTTTATACATTTAACAGCTTGTTGATTAATTTATAAATGGAATCCTTGAATGATAAACCAGAATTGAAGATATTTGATGTTTGTAAAAATACAACATATTTTGTTTTACTTTATATTACTCCATTACTACTAAATAATCAAAGTTCAAGAGCAATAAAATTTTTGAATGAAATTAATTCAACCTTTGTTTCATGTGAATGGTTAGACACTAGCTGATTAGCCGATCTACTGATAACATTTAATTTTTAATTTTGTTAAACTATAATACTTCAATCTTTATGCCAGTAACCTAATCACATTTCGAAGGTTTTTACAATTTACATGCTGATTAAGAACTAAAGACTGATGAATTACAAAGTACCCTGCATTCTCCTGCTGATATCTGTCTCACTATACTACCTACTATCACCTGCTCCACCATTGTCAGATGAGCAACTCACCACTCATCTTAAGGACAAAGTAGTCCTCATCTGTGGAGCTAGTAGTGGTATCGGAGAAGAACTGGCTTATCAGTTAGCTAGGCATGGAGCTAAACTAGTTCTGGTAGCAAGAAACCAAGATAAGCTAGATGTGGTAAAGGAAGGAGTGGTAAAGTTGGGAGCAATTGATGTTCAGACCATTTCCTTTGATTTTTCTGATGTAAAGGGTAGCAGTGGAGTCATCAATCAAACCATAGCCTGGTTCGGAAAACTTGACTATTTGGTTTCAAATCACGCTGCTATGATCCAAGGTGCATTCTTAGGGTTTCCTCATCAACAGGAGCCAGACTTCATTGAAAGAATATTCCGGGTGAATTTGTTCAGTCAAATTGAACTAGCAGTGCATTCTCTCCCACATCTTGAAGCAAGTAAGGGACATATGTTTTTCACATCTTCAGGGGCAGGAGAAACCCCTTTTTTTTCGATGGCAATTTACTGTTCCACTAAACATGCACTGAATGGTTTTTTCTATAGTTTACAGCAGGAATTGATGGCCAGAGAATCACCTGTGTCCTTAACCATCGGAGCTTTCGGATTCATCCAAACGAAGGATCTTAGTCAAGTGATGATTAATGAGGATGGTGAGAACGCAATGAGTATTCCTGCATGGGCTACAGGTGATGTAAAAGAATGTGCTAGAGGGATGATAGAATCTTACATCTCGAGACCATCGACCATGACATACCCTAAATTATCTAAAAATTTGGGTAGAGCTATGTGGTACTTTTTTCCAGTTCCTACATTCCATAATGCAATGATGGGTGCCTTCAAGCGTCCTGGTACGGTTGGTAATGGTTATCAAGAGTCACTGGATTTTGTGAATGAAGGGCGTGAAAAGAGGGAGAAGTTAAAATTCCAGCAAGGATATGGTATTTCTGATGTGTATATCGAAAGAGAGAAAAGTTGACGGCTGGAACACAGACACGAAAACATTTGGTCGTTGTCCGTTGAATCTGCATAATTTAAACATAGGCCATTCTGGAGGGGGATTTGTTTTAAAACATATAAAGGCATGATTTATTTACTTAACAAGATAAGGTAAATTAATTTTCTTTGTTATTTAGATTTATGTTTATAACGCAATTATTTTGTCTATGAATTGAGATGTAGCATTAATCGAACTCTTTGAACATGTTGAAGTGTGAGTTTTATCACGGTAGTGGTGCTAGCTTTTAAAAACGTAGCAGCTATTAACCAATCAGCGTGCAGTATGGCTGTCAGGTCTTAACACGACATTGATCATGTCCAGGATGTAGAAATACATTGGTCTGTGTTGAATTAATTCTCTTATCATTTTAAATTATTGACAAGTTTTCGTTCCCGATATATACCTACATTTTTTTCATTGAGAAATTTAGATTGTTCGGTTCTTTTGCCTTAGCTTTAGTGTTGGTTTGAAAATTGAAAATTATCTTTCAATACCCCCTCGTCAATCTACAGTACAGCAGTTTCATCAAGAGACAACATTTTTAAACAAGAATCGATACATTTGAATTTTAATATTATCAGGATTTGCTTTCGTTAATTAATTTTACAGATGATACCTTCATATTAATAAGTTTTTCATATTTAGAATTCATAGCTTATTCGTTTTCAATTCAAGTTTCAGTTATAAAGTTATAAATTGAAGATAAGGCATCATGTAGCCGGTGGGCCCGACATGATACGACACATCTCGACACGTCGGGGTTTTGTCGGGGTTTTGTCGGTGTTTGTCGGTGTTTGTCGGGGTTTGTCGGGGTTTGTCAGGGTGTGTCGGGGTTTGTCGGGGTTTGTCGGGGTTTGTCGGGGTTTGTCAGGATATGTCGGGGTTTGTCGGGGTTTGTCGGGGTGTGTCGGGGTTTGTCGGGGTTTGTCGAGCCTGGAGGCTACATGATGCCTAAGATATTTGATGTTTGTAAAAATACAACATATTTTGTTTTACTTTACTCCATTATTACTAAATAATCAAAGTTCAAGAGCAATAAAGTTTTCGAGTGAAATTGGTTGAACCTTCGTTTCATCTGAAGGGTTAGAAATTAGCCGATCTAATGATTACCTGTTATTTTTAATTTTCTCCATCTTTATGCCGGTAACCTAATCATATTTTGAAGGTTTTTACATGCTGATTAAGAACTAAAGACTGATGAATTACAAAGTACCCTGCATTCTCCTGCTGATATCTGTCTCACTATACTACCTACTATCACCTGCTCCACCATTGTCAGATGAGCAACTCACCACTCATCTTAAGGACAAAGTAGTCCTCATCTGTGGAGCTAGTAGTGGTATCGGAGAAGAACTTGCTTATCAGTTAGCTAGGCATGGAGCTAAACTAGTTCTGGTAGCAAGAAACCAAGATAAGCTAGATGTGGTAAAGGAAGGAGTGGTAAAGTTGGGAGCAACTGATGTTCAGACCATTTCCTTTGATTTTTCTGATGTAAAGGGTAGCAGTGGAGTCATCAATCAAACCATAGCCTGGTTCGGAAAACTTGACTATTTGGTTTCAAATCACGCTGCTATGATCCAAGGTGCATTCTTAGGGTTTCCTCATCAACAGGAGCCGGACTTCATTGAAAGAATATTCCGGGTGAATTTGTTCAGTCAAATTGAACTAGCAGTGCATGCTCTCCCACATCTTGAAGCAAGTAAAGGCCACATGTTTTTCACATCTTCAGGGGCAGGAGAAACCCCTTTTTTTTCGATGGCAATTTACTGTTCCACTAAACATGCACTGAATGGTTTTTTCTACAGTTTACAGCAGGAATTGATGGCCAGAGAATCACCTGTGTCCTTAACCGTCGGAGCTTTCGGATTCATCAAAACGAAGGATCTTAGTCAACTGATAATTAATGAGGATGGTGAGAACGCAATGAATATTCCCGCATGGGCTACAGGTGATGTAAAAGAATGTGCTAGAGGGATGATAGAATCTTACATATCGAGACCACCGACCATGACATACCCTAAATTATCTAATAATTTGGGTAGAGCTATGTGGTACTTTCTTCCAGTCCCTACATTCCATAATGCAATGATGGGTGCCTCCAAGCGTCCTGGTGCGGTTGGTAATGGGTATCAAGAGTCGCTGGATTTTGTGAATGATGGGCGTGAAAAGATGGAAAAGTTAAAATTCCAGCAAGGATATGGTCCAAATTAGGATATCTGATGTGTATATATCAAAAGAGAGAAAAGTTGCTACACAGACACGAACACATTTGGTCGTTGAAACTGCATAATTTAAACATAGGCTTGATTCTGGAGGGGGATTTGTTTTAAAACATATATATTATATGTAATGTAATGTGATGGAAATATTTTAAACGGGCATATCTTGTCCAAACCAAGGATGCACTACATGAAGAATTCGTTTTAATTTTGTTTGAAAAGCATTAATATAAAGGCATGATTTATTTAGTTAACAAGATAAGGTAAATTAATTTTCTGTGTTATTTAGATTTATGTTTGTAACGCAATTATTTTGTCTATGAATTGAGATGAAGCATTTATCGAACTCTTTGAACATGTTGAAGTGTGAGTTTCATCAAGGTAATGGTGCAAGCTTTAAAAAACGTTGCAGCTATTAACCAATCAATGTACACAATTTACTAATCAATTCCAGCATGGCTGTTGGGTCTCAATACGACATTGCTCATGTTTAGGATGCAGAAAAACATTGGTCTGTGTATCATTCAATTAATTCTCTTATCATGGAAAAATGGGCGATTAGGTTTGGCCTCTATACGGCCACTATACGGCCTCTATACGGCCTCTATATGGCCTTTATACGGCCTCTATACGGCCACTATATGGCCCCTACACGGCCGTATAGTGGCCGTATAGAGGCCAAACCTAATCGCCCAATTTCCCATTTTCCCCGTTACCTCTATTACTTTTACTGATGATAACATACCTAGAAAACATACCAGTTGCAACACGGTGTTGTTGAGCTGATATTCCCATGGAACTTATGAACTGTTATATTAACAGAATTGTGTCTCGCCGTTGTGTTTTATTAGGTATAGTGCTAACAAGAGACAATGCATTTGAATTTTAATATCATCAGGATTTGCTTTTGTGAAATAATTTTACAGATGGTTTCTTCATAAATATAACTTTTTCATATAAATTCATAGTTCATTCCTTTCTTTTTCAGTTCAAGTTTTGATTATAAAATAAGTGTTTGATTATTATCATTTTTATTAAATACATACGTTTATAGGTAATAATATAGTAAAACCCCGATTTACTGTGAAGTTCTGGGGAAAGGAAACAACTCTGGTAAATCAGGGTTTGTGGTAAATCGCGATTTTACTGTGCAGTCAAACTAATCAGATGAATTAAATGTTTTGAGTTTGATGAATTTCCGTATTTTGTATGTTATTTTATTCCAGTAAAACTTTCTTATGAAATGTGTTATTTTCATTGCTTAGTACTAATACTGTAATAATGTACTATTTTCCGTTATTCTAAGAAATCGGTTACTTATAAACACCTTAGTTTTGGGTTTAAAAATACACTTTGATTAAGAACCCCTCTGTTTAGTGGTGAAAATTTTCTAATGTCGCAAAATTTCACCAGTCATATAATGGGCAGTCACGTTCTATCTGTTTAACTGCTTAAATCAATCTTAACACTCATTAGTATTTCAGCCTAATGTCTGTATCAGTTCAACAGTGCTTGGAAAACGAGACTGTGGTAAGCGCAATATGTTATGCTTACTCTGTCGATTCTTACTCCCCAACATACCTAACAAGAGGTGACAAAATATTCAATATAAATCCTGCAGAAGACATCTCCATTTCAATTAATGAAACAATAGACATGAAACTACAATACTCGGACAGTAACTTTACTGCAGCTCAGTGGGCAGCTGGTAATATGAAGGTAGGGGCTCTTTACAAAGCTTTCTCTGGAGCTGCTAGTATGGCTGTTGAGACTACTGGAGAGTCTCAGTTTGAAACTGTACGAGTTGATGCTATTGGGGTGTGTACAAAGAACTGTATTACTACTAGAGGCAGCTTCAGGACTTGTCCAGAGAAGTTTCTGACAGAGAGTTTCAAGTCAGCTGTTCAAGAATTGACAGTGGAGGAGATTGAAAGTAGAATAGGGGTATTTTATGCGATCAGACTTCAACTTGGTGGGATGGTTAATAGATCCTATGTAATGGAGGCGACTGAAGATGACAACGAATCTAAGGTAACTGCAGAACTGCAAGCTGCATTTGGTGCGGAGTGTCTTGGAGCAAGCATCGAGGCTGCATCTACGTTTGAAACTGGACGTCGTTCATCTAACAGAAATGCAAAGGTCAGACGTGAGTGGAGGGCTCAAGGAGGTGATATTGATCTTTGGTTTCAACTTGGTACTAGTGGTGCAGCCCAACTTGGTACTAGTGGTGCAGCCCAACCCGAATTTTCATCAGCTATGGACATTGCTAGAGAATGGGCTCAACCTATCGACAGTACTAATGTGTACCCGTTTAATTTTGAACTGAGGCCCCTCTGGGAGCTGATCAAAGAAATCAATCCTGAGAAAGCAACAGAATTCAGGTTGTATCTGGAAGGCAAATGGGAAAAGGATGGAAGCAGACATCTACCTACAATGTTTCTTCCTACAAAGCTCAGAGTAATCCAGCTTCCTGAAGCATCTAAAACGTTCATAATAAACACATGTAAAGCTCACAAGTCTGCACTTGTTGAAGAGTCCACCAAGGCTCAGAGTTACTTAGACAGTCCCATGCATTTCATGGACAAGAAGTGTTCCAAGAAGTGGAAAGAATCTGCTGAGTCTGGTCAAGAGGAAGTTATGGAAGTTAGAGATCTCGTGTCTAATGATCCTGATATAACAGTTGAAGAACTCATTGAAAAGTTAGAGTTTAAATCACATCACCGATACGCTGAGTCCAACCGTTATCATGGTTTATGGGGAAACGATTCTAAACATTCAAACAAGGTTGAAAAGCTAAACAAAATCTTCCTTGACAAGGTAATCAAAAGATTAAATATAGATTTAAACAGACAGGTTGCAGTTGAAGAATGGCATGATGATTTAGACGAGTGTCAGCAGCAGGTATATGAAGCTACGGAATGGTTTAATGATAATCTGGGGTGTATGGACTCTGAGGATAAAGTAATGAATGTTAACAGGGCGATTGAACAAGTGAAAAACATTCAGGAATCACTGGATGGGTTCCTAAAGAGGCTTACAACAGAAATACAGGGAGAGACTACTGCCAAGAACTCTTAGTTAATTAATGAAGTTCGCCTTGGTGATACTGATAAGGGTATTGTATTATTTGTAAGGATATTTAAATACTGTATATTTGAGCGTGAGATTATAGAGAAGAGAGACAACCACAACATGGGAGGGCTGGCCTGACAAAACCACCCTATCAACTTCAAACAATGATTGCTACAATTCCAAAAGAGGTATTTAGGGCCTGTGGTAAATTTATTAATATAGGTCTTGAGATTGAAAACTGTTTCATTTCAATTCACACAAAATGATACAAAAACAGTGGATTTATTAATTTCAATAAGCCTTAAAACAAGCATTGTAAAAAATCAACTTAAGCAAGCTTTACTTCATAACCTTTAACCATCACATAGAAAATCCGCAGGATTGAATTGTAGATGACTACAACAACAATAAAATTTGCCAACAAATTACAGTTCTCTTGAATAGAAATTCGCTAACATGCATACCTCTTCAATGCTTTTTAATTTTCAACTTAGCCAATGCTGTGGATGTCAATTGCTACGTTTGTGAAATGTGAAGTACATACTCTTTGTATGTAGTAGACATATCATTTGTATCATTTTATTTAGATCTATATTGTTTCAAAGTTTATGAAAGTCATCTATAAAGTTTAGATAATTTTAGATAAGTTTTGATAATTTTAAATAAAGTTTTTTTGTCTTATCTGGTGTTTGATCTTTGCATAATATGTTTAAGTACCATTTTCTGGCTTTAGGGGTGGTTCACATATTACGTAATCAATATTTTAGCAATTTTTACCCCCCTCCGTAATCAACCGTAATCAAATCAAGACCTAACCCCCCCCCCCCCCCTTCTGACAGCAATATTAAGTAATCATGGCCTGACCCCCCCCCCCCCCCCCCTTCCCCTTTGACACTTTTCTTTACGTTTGATGCTACCCTGATCATAATGAGCCGAAATCATTGTTATTATATATCCGACCAAGCACCTTTCAAACTACTTAAGTTATAGTCGGATATCTGATCAATTTCTAAATTTTATCACTATCAGAGTGAAATTGAGTGGAATTTGAATTAAAAAATTGTCAAATTGTTATTATTCTAGAGGGTAAAAAATAAAATGTTGATTACATAATCAACAGCCAAATATACGATATATTTTCAAGCATAAGTTACTTTTCTTAACTTAGTATTCATGTTATTTTCTGGGATGACTAGTTTAAACACTGCTAAGTATAAGTTTTATCTTAAAAGCGGTGTTATTAAATTTCAATTAATCATTATTAGAACATTGTTGATAACATAAATTATTCACCATATAATTTTCTACCTTAAATAGTTAACACCCAAAAAAATATATTTTAATTTCTTTGAACTAATGAAAAACAACAGCTCTTGCCTAAAAGCAATCAGTCATACCATCATATAATTACTGTCTCTTAATACTGTCCTTCCTTGATCCACAACCCCTTAACCCAAGCCTGACACTTCCTTTCTAAATCTCAGAAAAATATTGTTGCCATTGTGTGCACATGAAAGCGAATAGCAAGAGTGCCCCTTTTTGGCCCATCAACTATGAGACCATCTGCAGTATGGTATGCAAAAATTACCCCAAATTTCTTTTATTAATTGTAAAGATTTTCAATAAAATTGGTATGAAAATGATAACTTCCATGCTATCCATTTTCCAAACAGCACTCAGACTCTTCTTCCTTGTTTTCAATCAGAACATTGTCCTTAGTCTCAGTATCCCAAAGCATGGCCAAAACAAACTGCACCACCGCAGATCCAACCATCAGAGAAACAACCGCCACGGGACTAACAGGGTAAATACTGTACGTCATAAAACTACCCAAAATCGCCCCAACCTCTCCGAAACAGCTGGTGAATCCTGAAGAGGTACTTCTCAGAACTGTAGGGTAAGCCTCCACAGCGATGTAGAACAGTGTTTGTCTGAATGCGG